AATACTAATTTGAAAATATGATGTCCCTAACCTAACCATCATAAGCAGTGAAGTAAAAGGAAAAAAGAATGGGGGTTGGAAGACATACAACTTATTACATATTTGTCCTCGCGAAGGAGGGTCCGAATGTCCAAATGTCCGAATAAATAATTATTACAAAACCGAATGAATAATAAATGAAATGGGCTGTCTAATTTATTACAAGAATTGATGTAAGGCAAGCCTTGACACAATAAACTCGGTATAACGTCCGACCGAATTCAATTAATCATATTAGTTCTTTATGTCGGTTGTAATCCATTTTTAACCAATTTTATTAGCCTTTTTTTGTTACCTGTCCATTTCTTTATCTTTTCTCCTGTTTGTGCAAGAGTGATATTTACGTCCACTAAGTCCAAAATGCAATGAAGAGAAACAAGCATCAACTTAACCCGAGAAAATTTTCTTCGGGGGAAATTACAAAGGAAGAGTCAAACTTATTTACAAGCGATAAGGGATTCTAAGTTAAACTCAAGATGTGCAACAATGACTACTCAAACTCAAAAGAGTGATAATGATTTAGAAAAACTCAAACTTGAGTGATAATGACTTGAAATCCAAACTTGATAATAAGTGATAATGACATTTTCCTTGGTGATTTCCAAGGGTCAATTAGTCCCTTAAAAGTAAACACACTGATGAATAAAGAGAAATGAAAAATATAAGATTGTGCTTTAGTATAAGAACATGTATACATTTGGGGTAGTGAACCTCCAAAGAATTTAAACCGTTAAGTATAGAACGTTTTATGCTTTTGGTAGTAAATCTCCTAAGAGATTAAATCAGTAAGCATAGAACGTTGTATACTTTTGGTAATGAACCTCTTAAGCATAAAATGTTTTATGCATTTGGTAGTGAATCTCTCAAGAGATTAAACCATTAAGCATAGAACATTTTATACCTTTGGTAATGAACCTCCTAAGCATAAAACATTTTATGCCTTTGGTAGTGAATCTCCAAAGAGATTAAACCATTAAGCATAGAGCATTTTATACTTTTGGTAATGAACCTATGAAGAGATTAAACCATTAAGCATGAAAAAGTTCATTTCTTATACTTGAACCACAATCTTAATTTTTCACAACTTTTTAATCGAAATAAACAAAGAATGGAGGGAGGTTGCAGAGATGATTATGCGAAATTGATTAATTGGTTAGTACAAACAAACTTGATATTTAAAGAATAAATCATTGAAATAAATTAAACAGCCCCCTAAATAGCATGCAATAGTGCTGAAATTAGAAACCTACCACTTTTATTATTCACCGCCGGAGGTTACTAGTCACCGATGGGGTTACTATTCACCGCCGGAGGTATTATTCACCGTCAGAGGTTACTATTCATCCGGTGGGTTAAATTATTTAAAGTAATAAATTACAACAGTTTATATATAATATTTAAATTACAGCAGATATGTGGGTGGTGCAGTCATCCCATTAAAGCGATAAAAAAAAAGTTATGAAAATAAGTAAATGCAGTATTTAAACAAATTATATCACATTTTTAAATTAAATGAAAATTTGCGAAAACTCACATTTTGGCGAAATGATGAATTTTCTGAGTCACAAACTTTCTTTTGATTACTCTCAAGTCTGTGGAATGTGCTCTCAATTCTCAATCTAAAAATTGGAATTACAGTTTTAGTGGTTGGTTTTTGAATGGTGTATTGATGAAATGGAAATAAAAATATTAAAAAATATATTTTATTTTCTCTCTCTCTCTCTTCTCAAACTCTCTCGCCCTACTTCTTTTTTTTTTCTCTCTGATTCTTTAATCTAATTCTCAGACCCTTCCCTCATTTTTTCTTTTCTTCTTCTCTGCTGGGCCTCATCTTTTATTTTCTTTCTCTTGATTGCCTTATATAGGCAAATTATAATATAATGATAATAATATAATAATATAAACATAATAATAATAATATAAATATATATACATATTGTTTGATGTTTGATGTCGGTAGACCGACATCAAACGAGTTGTTTTTATTATTTTCCTTTATAATATATATATATATATATATAATATAATATATAAAATATCTAAAATATATAATTTATACCAAAATACTAAACATGTAATATAATAATATAACTTTTTTGTTATTTTATTTTATACATATAAATATATAATTTATACCAATTTATATAAAAACACAAAAAATATGAATAAAATTATGCAAAATTAGAAAAATACTAAACTAATGAAATATTTAGTATTTTAAAACGATTTGGCCATAACGGTGAAGGTTGGGATTAAAGTTTAAATTTCATCTCTCTTACTGAGGATTATGTGAGAAACACATTCTAATTGTCATCATCGGGTAATCAAAAGAAAGCGCCTAAGTCTTAGGGCAGGTCAAAATGGGGTGTCTGCAATAATTAAGTTTAAATAATCAAAATCATAATGACTAATAGTGTAAAGTAGACAAATATATATTACCCGTTGGTTGTAACATTCCCGAAGTACATACAACTATCTGTCCATGCGGCTACAAACTTATCATTATATGGAATTAACCAACTTTGTGACACGTATTGCACTGCATGTATCAAAATCCGCAAGTAGCATAGCAAGGCATTCATTGTATTCAAGCTCAGTTGAGGAGAGTGCTAAGAAATTCCATAAAGAGATAAACTTGTCTCATTTCTTCTTACTATTTTGCCAGTACATTTATACCAATATGACATCAGCATAATAAATGTCGAGATGTAGAAAATACCCTGTCAATAGCATTCATCAAAGCAAGTTCCCTATCCGTGACAATCACCTTAGGAATAGCAATGTCATCCAAGAGACTACGCAATGTAGTTAACACTTAAACGTAGTTATCAATCTGCTCAAATTGGAGATATGCAAGGGCTACGGAGAATGACATATCAATGGATATCACACCAACTATCTCAAGAAAAGAAAGACGATATCGATTTGTTTTATATGTGTAGTCCATGATCAACACCTTTGGAAATGAACGGAGGAAATCTAAACTGACAGGATATGCCCAAAACAAGTATGTGACAGTCATCGTGTTGTTGTCACACTTATGCTGCTCAATTTAATTATGCTTTTCTAATTCACCCAACAACCACTGCATTTGTGATCTTTCAGCTTTTCTTAATAACATTATTCCTATGATATACATTTTAAATGGTTTGCATAGTGGTTTCATTCAAAGCATCCTTTTGTTTTAAGGTAACCAAAATCTCTTTTGGTCTGACTATACTTTTGGATATATCCACTAATAATGATGTTTCCTCGTCAAATAATCTCTCTACAAATGAATGTCCTTCAAAATGTTTAATAGGAGCATGGTTATGCATTCCACATGCTACATCTACATTCCAATCATTATCAGCCATCAACTTATGAGCCCTCAACTCAAAGGGACACCCGCATTTCTTTGTACCCGCTATCTTCATAATTTTTTTTGTTTGAATCATCTCCTTTTAATTTCTTATGAGCCCTGTATTGACCACTTCTCTCACATGCAAGATATATTCTTGGTGTCCTATAACCACCACCATAGTCCGATGTCTTGATGAAAATCACAAAACCATTTTTTCTTTCAACATCCTGTACCCAACTGAGCAATTCTTCTTGCTCTTGAAAATCCACATGTCAAATTAACCAAGGTCATTAACACATGCGGGGAAAAAAAAAATACTAATTTTGGACATGAAACTATCTCCTTAGTAATAAATTGACTTGTGTAGTCAATAAGACACTTGGATCCAACATTACTGCATTCCGTAGATGCACAACTATGAAAAAAGAAAAAAAAAATGTTTTACGTGTTCGACACTACAGAGTCGAATAAAGCAGATATGTTCGACTATTGATAGCAGAACAGATTTTGTGTGTTCGACACTAGTAAATCGAACAAATACAATTTGTATGGTTGTGGATAGTTGAAGATGAAAATGTTATTCGACTCTGGATAGCTGAACTAATACAAACAATTTACCACTCAGCAAGTATACAAAAACGAAAAAAAAAGAATGAAAAAATAACCTTTTCCTTGCTCTATTGTTCAAAACCAGTATTGTCAGATGCATACATCATTCAATTTAATTAAAATCTTTAATAATATGTATATTTTTTGTTGTTTCTTTTAAGTGTTTTGGATTGTTGTTTTAGAATTTTTGAATTATTGAGAGACAAGACACGTAAGTAATGTTTTAGATTCTTGATGTGTATTATATTTATTATTGTCCTTTATGATAATTATACAAATGATACGTATCATAACTCTTTGTCCTTTGTGGTCATTTTATCTAAGGTTAAAATTGTAATTAAAAAAAAAAACTAATTAATAGTGTGTCTTGAGATGAAATGTAGTGTGTAAATAGAGGCACCCATATGATACAGCACGAGAATCTGTATAGTTGAATTTTAAGACGAGTTTGTTTGGGTTACTCAATATTAGGCCTCGTTTGGGAATAAACTATTTTAGTAACTTTTTGACTAAAATATAAGGTAAAAAAATTAATATGTTTAAAATAATTTTTTAATTTTTTACAAAAAAATATACAAAAAATGGACAAAAAAATAAAACCTTTAACTTTTTAATATAAATTATAGACTTTTTAATTATTTTAATAACTTTTTAATTTTTAAACTAAAATATTGACGTACAAACGAGGCCTTAATATACTTTTTTTTATCTCACGTCACCCATTTTAGGGCAAATTATATATATCCTTCGAAGTTTGGCTAAATTACAAATACCTCATGAGATTTGAAAAATTACAAATTTTCTCCTGAATGTTATATTTGCATGACAAATTAGGGGGTAATTTGTTATGAAATTTAAACATCAGGAGATAAATTGTTATGAAAATATAAATTTTAAGAGGTAAGATGTAATTTTTAAAATCTCATGAGATATCTACAATTTAGTCAAATCTCAAAGAGAGGTATATGTAATAAAAGTCAAACGTACCCAAACAATGCCTAAATTAAAATCCAGCCGCGGAAGGAGAGATATGGGCGGGAAGTAGCATTTGGGGACAGAGCGCGAGAAGCTCAAACGTCGGCGCCTTCTGCCAAAATCTAATCATTTATATCACTCACTCACTGACTCATCTCTCTCCCTCTCTCTCTCTCTCTATCCATTCATCAATTCTCAGTGTTATTAGACTAACGTTCATCAACAGTCGAAGCTCAAAGACTCTACTACCATGGCGGACGCTTCCAACTACGCCAGATTTCTTAACCCATGGGTCCTCCATCACCAGAAATTGGGTCTCGAGCTCAAGTGCCCTCTCTGGTTTCCCCTCTCTCTCTCTCTCTCTCTCTCTCTCTCTGTCATTTATATATAGATATATATATTTTGTGTGTTAATCTTGACTGATATAGTTTTTGTATGTTGATCTTTCTGAATCATTCAGCCTCAACCTGCTTAATCGACCAACCTTGCTCCCCTGCAATCACATCTTCTGCGAGTTCGTTTCTTCTCCTTATTTTTTCTCTAATTTCTTCATTTTTATTTTTTTTATGTTATACATGATTTAATTTTTCTGATTATGATCTTAGTTTGAATGTTTGAAATCTATGTTCAGTTCATGCGTACCGAGATTGACCCATTTTGGATCCGAGTGCCCTGTCTGTAAACAACAGTACTCTGATCGAGGTATGAATATGTATTCTAGGTTTGTGTGTTTCCCTACCTTTTGGGTTTCTTTATTTTGAAAGGAAAATAATTACATCTCTAATCAAGACTCAAATTTTTTAAAAAGCTTCATTTGATATGAAGATCTACAATGGCAAACATCAATGTTAACTTGGTTTCTTTTCCCATTTTATCCCAAGAATGGAAATTTAGCAAATAATTGAAGCAAATGTAGCATTTGAAGATTTGGCTCTCCCTTCATTTGGGTAAAAATTCAATTTGGTATGAGTTTGATTCAAAGAGTGGAGAAGGGTTGGGGGTGTTTTTCTACTCAATTTTTTTTTTTTTAAAGTTTTGAGTCAACATTGGGTAAGGATTGGAGACGCCTTAAGCTGTTCTTAAACCACCACTTTGGTTCATGTGGAGCAATTTCAGTGAGCTGCAATTGTCAAATTACAGTAACTCTGCCCAAAAGTTCTTCTCCAGTGGCCTGCCCAAAAGGCTTTCCAAGAAAATGGCATTGCAAAAGTTTGTTAATGTCACCAGTGCCAACTCAGCTTATCCAAAACAGTGTTTTGATCTAATGCTCGTTTGGTTCATTAGAATGAGATTGAATGGAACGGCCATTTCTTAGGTTTCCTTATGGAATGATCATTTCCTTGCAATGGTGAATGATGATTTCATTTGCAATACGCTTTTCATTATTTTTTAGTCAATCAAACGTGGGAATTGATATATTGCCAAAATGACATTTGCACCAGTGGAGCTATATTGTTAAGATCTGTTATTTTTTTACTATAGCATGTCAAATTATTGTTAATATCTGCAATGTTTATACTATAGCATGTCAAATTATTGTTAATATCTGTAATGTTTATACTATAGCATGTCAAATTATAGTTTTGTCATCGCCAGTTTGGCAATTGTTAGTGGAGTTGATAGGGATTAAGTTAGTTAGTGTTTCTTTCTTTTGCAGTCATTCTGAGTTTTGGTCCAAATTGGGCTTTGACCCAATGGGATTTGTGTGCAACATTTGGTTAGTTGAGTTGATTTGTGTGCAACATTTGTTCATTCTTTGTGACATTTTAGTGTAATATTAGATTTGAAGTAGTTCCTCCGTCCTGAAATATTAGTCGCTTTTGAGAAATCTAAGGCTGTGTTTGGTTAGCTTCTCCAAACATATTTTGACCCCTTGTTTTGAGTGTCTTGTTTGTTTAGAATTTTCAAAAATTAATTTTACATCTACTTTTGAAAACTCTTTCTAAGGCGAGAAAATTTGGGCTAACTGGTCGTTCTCCCGGATGTCCGGCCGATTGACCGGAATAGTGCTCTTTTTTTTTTTACAATTGGTACCTGTCATTTTTTATATTTTAAATATTTTTTTTTTAGAATTTTTAATTTTTTTTTTATGAGTTTTGAATAGAATTTTGAATTGTGTGTTCGGTTATGAGTTGTAAGTTTTTGTATCAAATATTATATGACGCATCAAAAATCTCAAAACTCCCTCAAAAATTCTTTTCAAAACTCATAACCAAATAAATTTTTTACATTTAAATCATAATTCCAAATCTCACAAATTCAAAATACAACTCTATTCTTAAATCATATTTAGAAAACTCTTCTAAATGCTACCTAACTTTTTTGGTAGTAAAATTATTACATTTCAAAAATATTGACTTTTCAAAACTACCTTTTGGTAGTACAATTATTACACTTACAAAATATTAATTAATGAATTTAAAGAAGGGTAAAATAGAAAATTTATGTTATTTTAGTCATTGACTTTGAAAAAGGATTAATATTTTGGAACAATGAAAAATGGAATAAGGGGTTAATATTTTGAGACAGAGGGAGTAATTGAGATGATTGCTCGTTCTTTAAATGCATTATGGGTGTGCTTGTGTGGAATCAATATTATCTAGTTGGAGAGAGAATTTCCAAGACAACAAATTGATTTATGAAGTAGTATGTATTGAAATGACTCCATGGTGTTGCAGATGTAAGACCAGCACCTTACATGGAAAATTTGGTAGCCATTTATAGAAGTTTGGAGGCTACTTTCAGCGCCAGTCTCTTTCAGTCTCTTACTTCTGGTACCACCATTTGCAACCATTTGTTGAAATTTACTCTTTTTGTATTTCAATTTATTTCAATGTGCATTGGAGGATTTTTTTTTTTAATTTTTAATTTTTAATATTTTTACTTTTCATCAGATGGTTTTCTAATTCTTGCAGATGCGGGAAGGGTGCCTCTGCAATCCCCCATTTCACTTAACACAAATGTTGATAATCAATCAAAGGAATCGGTTGAAACACCTCAAGAGGGAAACTCTAGCAATGGGCAGTGCATCTCTTCATTAACAGCTAATAAACGAGTTCGGGCTTCACTTAACCACTCTGTTGAAGAAGGGAATAAGTTGACTGGGAAATCTGACAAATCTACACTGCTAACCACTAGTAACATGGAAAAATTTCAGAAGCGAGATGCAGGTGAAGTGGTTTTCCATGGTGGAGATAAGTTGGTTTCTCCACACTATTTTGGTTGGGCGAGAGGTGCAACAAATGAAGAGCTTGTTACACCAGAAATAGATATTAATCAAGTGTTACAATTGTCACCAGTCAGCCCTCCTTCCGTTGATGCCAAAGACGTAAACGACGATAGCAGTGATCCAGGCAGCAGAAATGATGTAAGATTTTACTAGTCAGTGCTTTTATTCTGCTATAATATGAATATCACTTTCAGAAATTATCAAGTTATATATAACATGCATTCTTATTTCAAAGTTATCTTTTGTTGGGGTTCATCATTTGCCAGTTCTCTATGCTGTGTTCATGAAATGTGTATTTTACCTAGTATATTGTTTGGGTTTTGATCTACATTTCATTATTATTTCCATCTATTATCACCACTGGTTGTAGGGGTCACATCTATCCTTGATGAAGTGATGGAGCCTATGAAGATTTTAGTTGTGTGTTTGTGGGGGGTGGGGGCGTTAAAGTCAAGTTGGGACAGTGCAAATAAGTGTACATATCTGTCTCAGTGTGTAAGTTATACTATATGTATTGATATCTAACTTGGGTTGAAAGAAACCAAGAAAATTTGGGGTTTCTTTCACTGGGAAACATCTTAAATCAACATTGGAACCTTGTGAGATTAACGGAGTACAACTTGTTTAACCGCTATTAAACTGGCAACCTGGATGCTTGTTTCATCAAACTACGACATATGCATGGATAATACTGAATGGCTTTTAGTAATGACTAGTGGTACATAGGGTTTTATGATTTCAAAATTTTCTAGAATTGGATTTTGTGGTTTCAAAGATTTCCACATTATGATTCAGTTGAACTAAATCCCAACTGGATTTCACAGTTTTAAATTTGTCTATAGTTTGATCAGTTCAGTCTCTAAAATTGCTGGGTTGGACTAAAGTGGTAGGAGTGGCTGGGGCCGTAGAGGGTTGGAATATTACTCTGGTTGGTTATATCAACTGTTTTTACCACCATATGATGTACTTCAATTGGAACGCAAATCTTCTGCCCCCTTCCCATGCCCTATTTTCTCTCCCATGTATTTTGTTGTGCCACATTGTCATTATTAATGATATATTAATGTTGATTTTAGTTTTATATATTAGATTTAATTAAAATAACAATTCATATCTATAATAGGTAAGAAAATCAATTAGAAAAACCAAGCGGTATATTACTTTCTAAATTAAAACCATCTCTATAATCTAATGAAGACCCCATTCTTACTTCACTGTCTTCCTTAAATGGTGAGAATTTTACCAGAAGAGTACATATTGATAATCACATATCAATTGGCTTTCAATTTTTTCCACATTGTCCTGAAGGTCCTCAGAAGCATCATCAATTGGATTGATTCAGATAGCTACATAAACTTCTTAGTTGAGGGAGTGAGGAAGCAGAAATGGTTTGGCAGTTTTACAAAATAAATTTTTACAAGGCGTAGAAGATACAATTAGGGGAAACCCATGAAACTTATGTACACAAGATCAAATGCAAAAGTTATATCTGTATATATACATATGTATATGTTATGCATAGAAGGTAGAAGATTGAGGTTTCTATTGTTTTATAAAGGATAATAGTTTTGGTTTAGGAAAGATTCCAATTTTCAGTTTTCTTTGTTGATTTTGTTTTGTAATAAACATTTTATTCTTATATTTAGTAATTATAATAAATAACTAAACATAGAACTAATGTTATTATCTGTCTCATCAACAACGATAATGTGGCTTGATAAAAAGCATGGAGTAGAGAAGGGAACACGTGGAGGGGTTGAGGATTTCTATTCATTCAGTTGCTTTAGTGTTTGAACAAAATTTGTAATTTGTTCTAAACTGGGTTATTTTTGTGTTTTGCATGTTTTTGGATTACTGTGCTATGGGTCTAAGCTTTCTTGCGAAGCTATTTAATCTATTTGTGAATTAAAGTGTTGGTTAATTATTTTTGCAGAGTACAGAAAAACATCCAGCCAAGAGATCAGTTGAAAACAACTCTAATGATAAGGCAGGAGGTGACAGAACTTCACCTAGTGCTGGAGATCATACCAGGGATGTCAAAAGACAAAAGAAACTGAACTATGGTTTGTTTGATATGGGTGTGAAAATTGATGGTTGCACTCAACCAAATGTAGCAGTTTCAAAATTGGAATCAAAATTTGAAAATCTCTCTGGTGCGAAGGCACCTACAATTTCAGATTTATGCGATGCAAATAAAAGTATTTGTGCCTTTTGCCAGTGCTCTGGGCTTACTGATGTGAGTTTCCATTTTTGGATGCCCTTGTCTCTACATTTCCTTTGTGACAATTGATATTGCTGTGAACATTGTTTTTCCTTTTTTTCAAAAAAAAGAAAAAGAATTCTTTTGAAATATCTTGGTGTTTCTCTAGCTACAAAGTATTTATGGGGTTAATTTTTTTTCTTTTTCCTTTTTTTAATTTTTTTTTTTACTGTGTTTGTAGAGAACTGGGCCTATGTTGCATTATGTCAATGGAAAGGAGGTTGCAGGAGATGCAGCAACAAACACCAGTGCTATACATGTTCACAAGATATGCATTGAATGGTGTGTTTTCTTGGGATATTGTCTAGTCTATTCAAGGAATATTGAATCATTGATATTAAAAGCTGTTAACTTTTATGATTATTCACCCAAAAAAAAACTTTTATGTTGTGAAGACACATATATAACTTACAAATATATAGACTGGTAGCTGTGCTGAAAAGCAATAAGGAAGGCAATCTGTTTTTTTCCCTTTCATGGCTAATTGGCCTTAATTTTTTGATTAATTTATTGTTATATGATGTGTATTGGTAATGGATAACTATGAAACTGAAAAATTGAAGAAATATGATACATAGGAGATGATAAAAATTATTGTTTTCCTTTCATCTCTCCTTTTCATGACCATTTCCCTGACTATTGCTTGTTCTCGAATTGAAGATAAATTAGAATTTATTTTTTATAAAAAAAGAAGAAGCTTATACTGCTGCTTACCCATGACATGTGCCTCAAAAGCTAGAATAAGCTGAAATTTGTGAGGTGCAAAGATGTTTTGGACTCTTATAGAGCATAAAAGTTTCATGCTAAGGCATACAAAGTGTAACAGATTGTCACGGATTTATGTTTAATAGGTTGAGGCATGCACCCTTCTGGGTTCTTCCCTTTACTGAATGCCTTTTAAGTTGTTTATGCTTTGCCTCTTAATGTTTTTCAAAGCTATGGTTAGGCTTGTTAAGATGGAGGAAATTTTCAAAGTTAAAATTAGATACTGGATATCTTGAATGTGCATTGTTTCTGAATTGTTATGCTGATGGTGTGATTATCATGATATTATAATATATATTGTCTTTTTGTAACCTCTCACACAGCCTGTGTTTCATGTTTTTGTATGTTTATGGTTTTGATTGGGTTGATTGAGAGGAGTTAATGCATTGACCTTGCATCTCACTATCATGGGGCCTTACGATAGCATTTGCAATTGCAGGACACCTCAAGCTTATTTTGTCGGTGAAACAGTTAAAAATTTGAAGGCAGAAGTGGCAAGAGCATCAAAGCTAAAGTGTTCTAGCTGTGGGCTGAAAGGAGCAGCTCTTGGTTGCTTTGTGAATTCTTGTCGCAAAAGTTATCACGTGCCTTGTGCGGTTGAAATCATTGGATGCAGATGGGACTTTGTGAGTAAATTAAGTCTTCCTGTTTGGCTTGAAGTGAATTCAAGCACATCTTGTCAGGGAACTGAGCTTTATTTATTTCTTTGTTGCCCCTTTCTGCAGGAGGACTTTCTAATGCTGTGCCCAAGTCATTCCTCAGTCAAGTTTCCTCGTGAGAAGTCCAAGAATGGGAAGCATGCCAGTGAAAAACAGCATTTTGTGCCAACAGAAACGTAGGGTGACCATTTTCTATATATATATATATTTCATAATATTTTACCATGGAATTAAAATGATTAGCTGAAGCAATTCATAATTCTTTCTTACTTCAAATATTTAAGATATGTGCTTAGAACTTATATTTGTACTTAGCAGCTATTTTGTTTGCTAGAATTGTCAGATACCAATGGTAATGTTGTTCCTGAACAAGTTTTATGCGTTGACAAATTTCTTGGAAGCCTCTTTATTTATTTACTATTTGTTATAGTGTTAGGTCTTTAGGAAGATAAAATATGCACTCCCTTTTCTTTCTTTCTTTTTTTCTTTTTAGGAACAGATAAAATAATCCCTTCTTTTTGTGTGTTGTGGGTTTGTTTTCTGCAAGGCTTTGTTTTTTGTCTGAGTACAGGTCCTCCTGTGTCCTCTCTTCTACAATCAATTTTTTTTTTTTTTTCAAAAAAAAGAAAATACTGATGGTCATATATTTAGCACGACACTTTGTGAACACCTTTGAAGTCCTATTTCAGCAGCAAAGTGATTGCCTTTGTTTTGTTTGTATGTTTTTTAGCTTTTATTTCCAGTTATTCCACCTTATAAGTTTCCAGATAAGGTTTATTTGATTTTACTCTTTTTTCTTAATAATTTGTTTTTTTAAGTGAGAAAGGCAATAATAAACATGATGTTTTGATGTTCAATTGCATTTCTAAAATGATTTTTTAATTTTTTATATTTGAACATTGTATTTGATAGTTTTTGTTTCCACTTCAATTTAATTTTGGTGTTATATTTCCCCATGGTGATATGCTTTTCATATGGCTATGTAGATTGCATCTATTGCCAATTTGTAGCTGGAAATCTAGTTATTTATTTATTTATATATGTCAACATGAATGCAGAACCTCGAAGCAGTCCAACTTTTGGGGAGCCTCTCCTAATGGAGTGAAAAAATGGGTTTTTTGTGGATCTGCTCTGTCTGCTGAAGAAAAGGTTGGTTAACTCTAAGAGGATAGTTAGCTCGTGTATAATATATGTGTGCACACAGTCATGCATGTAAGACCATTACTATTGGATAGTTTTATTTTTTAAACCATGAATATGTGATATGATTTCCCCATTTCTTTTTGCTGTATGATTCCCACTTATTATATTTGGCATCAAATTAGGTTTTCCATACATTTCCAGCATATATGATTTTACTGTTTCCGCCTTTCTTTTTAATTTCTGGTTTTTATAAGTTTTTGAAAATTGTTTTGAGTTACTTTTTTTTTGTCTGTAGTGATTTTTTTTTTCTTCTTAGCTGGAAATCTAGTTATTTATTTATTTATATATGTCAACATGAATGCAGAACCTCGAAGCAGTCCAACTTTTGGGGAGCCTCTCCTAATGGAGTGAAAAAATGGGTTTTTTGTGGATCTGCTCTGTCTGCTGAAGAAAAGGTTGGTTAACTCTAAGAGGATAGTTAGCTCGTGTATAATATATATTTGCACACAGTCATGCATGTAAGACCATTACTATTGGATAGTTTTATTTTTTAAACCATGAATATGTGATATGATTTCCGCATTTCTTTTTGCTGTATGATTCCCACTTATTATATTTGGCATCAAATTAGGTTTTCCATACATTCCCAGCATAAATGATTTTACTGTTTCCGCCTTTCTTTTTAATTTCTGGTTTTTATAAGTTTTTGAAAATTGTTTTGAGTTTTTTTTTTTTTGTCTGTAGTGATTTTTTTTTTTCTTCTTAACATTATAGCCGTTTTTCTATCACTTTTTAGATGCACCTAAAAAGTAAATTATTTATGAAGAAATTTGAAAAAAATGCACCAAGGACAATTTATGAAAATGTGTTGTTTTTGTCTATAGTGAACCTTTATTTATTTTTTATTTTATAAATTTCTTCACAATTTTATCTATAGTGAACCTTTATTTATTTTTTATTTTATAAATTTCTTCACAATTTTATTTATTAGGGTTTCTGCAGCAGAATTGCCTGGAATCATATGCTTCATATCTCACTCAATTCCAGAGTAACCTAATAGTTTGTTCTAAAATTTCTGATGTGCAGTATCTTTTGGTGAAGTTTGCCAACATTTGTGGTGCAACTGTGTCCAAGTTTTGGAAGCCAAATGTTACTCATGTCATTGCTGCCACAGATGCGAAGGGTGCATGCAGCAGGACGCTGAAAGTTCTCAAGGCAATTTTGAATGGGAGATGGATCCTCAAGACGGACTGTAAGCTATATTTATGCCTTCCCACTTCGTTGCATTTTTTTAAGTGAAATATTAATATTTGCTCTTCGTTATTCAGCATGGCTGTTTTTGAACTTTTGGCCTGTGGGCTTGCAGGGATAAAAGCATGCATGGAAGCTATGCAACCTGTGGATGAAGAACCTTATGAAGTTAGTCTAGACAATCATGGCTGTTGTGACGGCCCCAGAACTGGCAGACTAAGGGTCTTAAATAATGTAAGTGCATACTTATGTGAAAGAATAAGTGCACAATGTTTTGTGGAAATGTAAAATCTCACAATAAGCCATATGCTCAACTTTGTTTCTTTTTATTTTTATTTTTTTCCCAACACATGGCTGGTTATTATTTAGTGTTATGGACTAAAAAGTTGAACACTCATATTTATATATGGGTCAAAAACTACTGACTACGACAATTTTGATTTTTAGTTGACTAATTAAATTGTATCATTTTATTTTAGATATTTGGAACTTGAAGAATGAAATATGCCACAGGTTTCATGCCATATGATAAAAAATGATTTTTTTCCTATATGACCTCTGGTAGTAGAGTCTTGTACTGCTTTTGGTGGATCTGCTTTCACTAAACTAATTTTGTTTAAGTAACTTCGCTTGAGAATTACATTAATCTTTTAAGATTTGGGTTCCTCCTTTCGCACCTTATTTTTGGGCGTTAAAATCTAAACTTTTGTGCTTGATTGAGCGAATAATATATTGTTCTTTCTTCTGCAGGTGCCAAAGCTCTTCAATGGCTTAAATTTCTACTTCACTGGGGACTTCATACCAGGTTATAAGGATGATCTTCTAGATTTGGTTATCACTGCAGGCGGTACTGTCATCGAGAGCAAGGAACAGTTAGTCGCACAAGGTCAAGATACCCAAACAACTTCTTCAGGAACTCTAGTTGTTTATAACAATGACACCATGCAAGGGCGCAGATTGGAAGAGGAAGGTTCTGTTGTGTTGCAAAGACTAGAAGTAGCAGAAAGGTTGGGTGATGAAATTGGGTCTCAGGTCATCATCGCACACACATGGCTGTTGGAATCAATTGCTGCAAGTAAGCTGCAGCCTTTTGGTTGCTAACTAATCTGCAGATTTTTGTTATGAAAAGTTTTGATGACAGATTTGTTAAAGCCTGGTCTGCTTGGTTTTGCATCCTAAATTATGTAAGATACATTTTTTGATCCATATTCTATGTTAATGTTGGAAATGTGTCCACATTTATTAGTTGGTTATGGGTTCTCATCCCCCTTTGTTATTTAATCTTGCTTGCCTATTTGTTTAGGGCTTTTTAGCTATCAGGCTTCGATTAAAGAGTGTTCTTCTTGTCTATTTGAATGATGAGATAGTGTGTAGCGCTTAAAGCTTGCTTTTCCCATTTGAAAACGATCTTTAGGAAGTGAAAGTGATCTCGCCCTACTCTATTGAAGATAGGAGAGGAAGTAAATCAGTCAGATTTTGACACACCCATAGCATCCTCCCTCACTTCTTTTTGGAATGTAGCATCCTCCCTCTATCAACTACCATCTTTGTTGTACCTTGGATCTTAGAGTGTGGAAATGTAAATAAGGGTATGCGATGGCTTGCTTGGATTATGTGCGAAACACACGTTGAGTTTTCTTAACATGCGGCAAAATTGACATATGGTGTTCAAATGCCACCCATATGAAAAATTGTTTGCAATAGTCCTGCATTTTTTCCCATGTGTTTCTTAACATGATGTCCCTTGACTTCCAGTATCCTATGCTCTTTACAAATGTATGTGTTGCTTTTATTTAATACTTATTAATCGGTCAAATTATAAAAAAAAATTCACAGTTTGACTCATGTAACAAAATAAATCTTGAATTGTTAATTTTATCAATTTAAACCTTATATTTTGGATTTGTTTTTAATATAAATTATTTGTCTATTTTTGTTAAGTAACATCGATAGAAAAATGAATATTTTAGTTTTAAAGTCATGAAAAATGTTATTTTAGACATTTTATGTATATTTATATTGAGTTTACTGATTGTAATATTATTTTTCAGTCGATTTTACTTAACGAAAATAGATAAATGATTTAGATTGAAAATAAGTAAAAAGAGTAAGGTTCAAATTGATAAAATTAAAAACTTAGGGTTTGTTTTGTCACTAGACTTAAATTCTGGATTTTTTTTAAAAAAAAAATTAATTTTTTATTTTTTTGTAATTACCCCCTTATCAATCTAGAGTGCTTTTGTTCCAAAAACATTGAATAATTTTTTTCTTCTACACTGGTCATGTGCTATCTTCTTTTGGCCAAGATAAAGCGTCAAGTCAATGTACTATTTGAACTTTGGATTAATTGTATTAATGATTCTCAAAGTATCTAAATTGTTGTTTAGTCTCTAATTTTTTAATTTTACTAATTTAATTTTCAAATTATAAAATGTGAATTCAAATGGCTCCCAACACTAACACTGTCCAAATTAATTAAAGAAAATAGAGATATTTTTCAAATTTTACAAGTGTAATGAGTTGGATGTGTAGAGAAACTAGGTTTGATGGTTTAAAAAACAACTTTACTAAAGGATAAAATTGTAATAAAAATAAAATAAAAATGAGTGTAATGAGTTGAGTGCATTTGTGCAAGTAGATTTACCTATTAGTTTGTTAGGATTAAAATTTTAAATTTATGTAGAAACTTACAATATATAAAAAATGACTTTGGTATTTTTGTAAAATTGAGATAAAATGATATTTTCACCTCAAATCCCATGAAATTAGAATGCAAAACCCAACCCCCTTGTGGGATTGCTAATATCCCTATGAAGGGTAAAACCATTTCACTGAAATTTTTTCTCCTCTTCGAAGGGAGTTTGTAATCTCGTGTAACTGTTGGTCCCATGACATTGTTGCAAAACAAACATAATGTCTGAGATTCACTATCACACCAACAACGTACTAAAACAGGGCCTTTATGACGACAGTTCGACACAATAGCAAAAGCATAATAATAGTTTAAATTAATGAAAAATGTTTGGTAACTCAAAATTTTGTAGTTTAAATGGCTCAAATCTGTCAAAACGACGTCGTTTTGACAGATTTGAGCCATTTGAGCCACAAAATTTTGAGCTACCTAGCATCGTTATAGATTAATTTTATGAGCCATTTGAGCCACAAAATTTTGAGCTACCTAGCATCGTTATAGATTAATTTTAAAAACAAAAGCTCCAAACGTTGGGGTAAAGAATTTTTTTTTTTAATAATAATAATAATAACAGCTCTGCTATGTAGCTCGAAACCATGTGGCTCGAGTGGCTCAAATTTTATTTTTTATCTGCTGTGTGCGTGTGCTCAAATCAACTTCCACACCCACACATTTCATTTGCCAAAAAAAAAGAAGAAAAAAACAGAGAATAGAGAGAGAAGAGCACTGTCTCCTTTGTAACCTAGAGGAACAGGGATAAAACTTTGTAGCGGAACAGTGAGAGGAGCGGGTAACAGACTTGTGTGCAGCCGCTTAGCACCGATCTGGTCCAGATGGTTGTGGACCGGAACCATAAAGATTATCAGGTGAAACAAAATGACTTGCATTGCGTACATCCCCAACAAAAAGCTTCTTCAATGGCTTTGTACTTCTTACTTGGAAGGATGCGAATTTGGGGAAGAAGAGGAATGGTGGATTGATGGGGAGGAAGAGCTATGCGAGTATAGAGGAATTGAGGGATTGTCATTGGCTGCTACGAATGCGATTAATGGGGAAAACAGGGGAGGAAGAGGGGTTGCCAATACTGTTCTGGGTTACAGATAGTACTGAATTTCATTGTTTGGTTTCATCTTCAAATTTGTTAAAGATTTTCAGATTTTTTTTTTTTTTTTGGGATTGAATTTGATTCTTTTATTTTTGTTTTGAGTTTTCAGAGATCGTTTATGAGATCTCTATTTTTAGGTTTCCTTCAGATTGTAAAACTTTCATTTGAGTCTGATAATAATAGTATACAGAAGTTATTTTATACTCTGTTTTTCTAATCTGTTGTAGAGATTTCGGTGAAGAACAAAAGAAAGGGTTTTTTCTGTTTGATTTTCTGTTTTTTTTTTAGTTAGACTGTGCTTGTATCAATTGCTGTATTTACAAAAAAGATTCAAATACTTGAAATTTCTTAGTTCTTAATTGTTGGGGGGCTAACTTCTTTGAATTTAGACTAAGTTACTCATGGTCTAAGTTTATGGTTATTAACGGGCTTAGCATCTTCCAAGTTCCAAGCATGATTCATTTTTTGACTAGAAAACAAACCAAAAATGATAATCATAGAGCATTCTCTTTTAAAATAATATGAATTCGAATTCGTAGAGCACCAAATTTCAAGACCATGGTGACACTTACAGAACTGGAGACCATACTTCCATCCATACTTCCATGTAACATTGAACAAAGCCCTACAAGAATATTTGCAATCAGTACGCAATATGTTCATCCAATCAAAAAAAAATCCAACACCACTTCTTTTGTTACATGATTATCCATTAATTCAATATCGCTTTCCCCTTGTGTTTCAGGTCAAACCATCCAATGCTACATTTTTATGCGATCATTTTCTATGGTGCAAATGATGCCCACGAGGGCCATGACCATATCGTCTCTTACGCAAAACCCTCGTCTTCCCATGCTACTTACTATGTCAGATTTCTCATAAACATTTGTTTAAGTAATTCCTTTTTCAATATTACTACAAAACCATTGCAAAAATGTCACTACTCAAGTTCATTTCCTTCATATCTTGTTCCTCACCATTAAGCATTACTAGCCTTTAAAATCAAACTCAATACTAAGTTTCCTGCACTAGGCAGATGTTCATCACACAACAGGTCATGGGCACTGTTTTCCCTATTCCAACCCAATTAAAAATGATGGCAATGTCCCCCACAATCCCCAACACTCACAAAACAAAGCAAAAGCAGAGAGAGAGAGAGCGGCAGAAGATGAGAAGGCTTCCATGGATAAGATAAAGAAAATTTTGTTTCTCAGTATTTTGCCAATAACTCCAACACTTCAATCAACCCTTATATATATAGGCTTGTGCCACAGAGATCGGGGATGAGAGATTTGGAATGAGAGAGATTTGCTGAGCGGTGAGAGTGATCTGGAATGAGAGAGATTTGCTGAGAAGATGAGAGCTGCTGCTGTTTCAATGGGTTTTCGACTTCAGATAGAGGTAGAAAGTAAAACATAGAGAGGAGAGATAAAATATTGACAGAAATATATTTGACTCATTTTGACTGAGTTTCGGGCCACTCGAGCAAGAAACTCGAATCTTTTTCCTAATAATAAATTTGCAAACCACAAGAACAGAACTGAGGTTTCAGATCTACAGCCTCATTTACCCCATCACATCTTCATATAGATATTAACACCCATCAAAGAACTCTAAAACCGCCATCAAAGAACTCATCTTAACTCTTTGTTTTCTGATAATTGGTGACTAGACATAACAGAGACCATTTTAGAGAGCAAAAGAGAGAGTGGATGCTCACAGTGGTCGCTTTGCAGCATGGCTGGCAGTAGAGAAGAATGAACCATTGGATTATTTTTTTACTGATGTGTCATACTGGCAAGTAGTATTGCAAGATCATTGCATGGCAGAGAATCCAAATCCGCTAGGGGTAGCAAAGTGATACAGCATTTTCATCACACCAAGCTCATCATGGAATTTCAATCTCTGCCAGCCCCCCCTCCCCCTACAATGTTCTTCCCAAGACCAAAAAACAAAAGAAAAAAAAAACCAAAAGAACCCCATAATGTCTTACTCTCTTCTAAACAAACAAAAAAGATGCACAAAATCATCATCAACCTTGATGGCAACCAAGTGGAAAACATGATGATGGTAGAACATGAATAAACAATTTCCTTAAACATCAATGTCATAGAAAATCATATCAGTCTTCTATCTCTATCACATTCTGATAAAATAGAAAAATATCATTGATACACATCATGAAAGTAAAGAAACCAAAGTGGTTGTTACAATGCAAGAACCAAAGTAGGAACGAATGATGGCGAAATATGCCCCTCCTGCTTGGCCAACCACTTGGTGGATACAATTCATTTTAGAGATCAATCTGCCAACATGTATGCAACATCAAAGCACAAAGATGTTAGAAAAAGAAATATAACTTTGAGTTCCTGAATATTCGATGAGGCTAAAGTATGACGAACTAAAATTCTCCCCAAAAAAAAAAAAAAAATCGAAAAATAACCAGACCCACTTTCACCTAAACTGAAAAAAGCTTACTCAGATTTTATTTTACTTCGGACCACCCCAAAGAATCGTCAAGCCCATGAAAGCCAAAACTGTAAAGAAAAACAGAAAACTACGTATCCTTCAAACCTCAAATGACACATACCATATCTTGTTTGAACTTGAAAGACTCCAGAGCCTCCTTCACATTCTGCATGAAAGATCAGGTGAACACTGCCTCATCCAAAGAGTCCACTTTAGAATCCTCATCATGCCACAACTGCCATTTAACATTTTTAAGAGTTCCACGAGTGCCAATTTCGGATAGGAGTATCTCTATCTCCTGTACAAAAAGGCAAGTTCAGGCAAGAAAATGGCTATGCCTTATAAAAGTTGCGACGACTACCACTATGATTACTCCTACCCACAATGTAGCGATCAATTAAGGCTGCCTAGAAATCCACTGACAACATTACCAAGAACCTTTGCTTCATGTCAATGTCTTTATTCATCAAATTCTATCACACAAAGCAGCAGCGAGAAACTGAGACACTGCTATCATGAAGCATGTACTTCTAATTCTACAGATTTCATATCAGGCACAAAAAAATCATACCTCTGAGATATATGCTAATGCAATTCACAAAATCAAATATAGAGATTATCACGAATACCTGTAGCCAAAAGGAAGTCAACTAGATACCACTCTAGTTTTAACAGTAAAGAAAAGGAAAAGCATTTGAAAATCACGAGGAAGAGAGGGAAGGGAAGGGAGGGTTTCAATTAAGCTAGCAGATACAACTATAAGCAATCTGAAGTATAACACTAACACTAACACTAGCACTCAAGAAAGACAAAGAAAATGAGAGGCAAAATACTACTATTGCTAACTACTACTAAATCCATGCCGGAAAGATAGCTACTGCAAACTACAATTAAGATTCAAGCAAATCCAACCAGTCCCAGGAACTTCAAGCAATATGATCAGCATTGTTGGGCCCCTAGCACAACCAGCAGCTAGTCAAGAGTCTGATCTCCAGGAAGTATTTGAATACGCCGTGTAGCCGCCACCTGTCCCTTGATGCCCCCCTGCAGCATTGTTGCCACCAGAATTGCTGTTAGGGGCACCCCCACCAGAATTAGTATAAGAGCCTTCACTTCCACCGTAATTACTATAATAACCATACCCTTGACTCCCATACCCAGAAGCCCCACCTGGAGATGGAACCATTGGTGCAGAAACAGCACCAACAATACCTGGTGCATACCCTGCATTTGCACTGTAGCCTGAAGCACCATACCCTGGAGCCTGGTTGCTCCATGGGCTTTTTAAGGCACCAGCTGGACCACTTACATAACCAGCATTAGCGGCGCTTGGGTTTCCATATGCCCCAGCAGGGCCAGTAAAGCCAATATTGGCACTTCCATAGCCACCAGCACCATAACCACCATATCCACCATAGCCAACAGTGCTATTTGCAGCTCCATATCCATAATTCGGTCCTCCGTAGGTAGGATATGGTGCATAAGCACCACCACCAGCAGTTTGTGGCTGCATAAATCGACCGCCATCCATTCGAGCATCAAATGTGCTAGCATTGGCACCAGAAGAACCATAGGGTTGATGGCCTCCACCACGGCCACCGCCACCACCACCACTACCTGGATTTGCCTCTTTAGGAAGGGCTGGTTTCACCTCAACAAGCTTATTATTCAGTTCATGGAAGTTCTTGTGGAGAACTCTATCGACTGCATCTTCTGTGTCGAAGGTGATGAATCCAAAACCACGAGGCCGATTCGTATTCTGATCGTACATTATTACAACATCAGTTACATTGCCATAAGTTTCAAAATACTGACGAAATCCTTCTTCTGTCAGTGTGGAAGGCAACCCTCCAACAAATATCTTTTTGGTTTTATAATTTCCCGTCCCTTCAAAGCTTCGGCCAGTATTTGGATGTCCAGGTCTGGAGGAGGTGCGCTGTTCTTCTCTTGGTAAAACCCTCTTAGCCTCCACCTGCAGTAAACATATGCACACACGCGTAGACATGTATGTGCCCAAAGTTCAAACTGTGTAAGGAGCTATTTAGGAACTCACAGCTTAAACAAGTTGATAAACGTGTGCTCGAATAAAAATTGATTTTATTTTATTTTATTTTATTTTTTTTAAATTTCTTTAGGAAGATCTCGGGGGGAAGATTTGAGGGTAGGAATAGCCAATCTAGTATGGCTAGTCCACCTCTTTGATTTCTCATACAATCTGCAACAGTATGGTTGATAAAATTGAAGAGAAAGATAACAATTTGAAAAGAAAAGAAGAAAAAAAAGAGAAATTTCTGATAAGAAACAATTAGGCTCTGTTTGGATGGTATTTAAATGAAAGAATTTGAATTTTATAAAAATATAAGAATTTGCGTTGTTATTTCAAAATTCAAATGTATATCATGAACAAGTTCTAAAAATTCAACCTCGAAATCCATACCTAAACTATAAGAATGTGGAAAATCAAATGAAACTAAAGAATAACAAAATAAAAAAAATAAAAAAAACAAGAGAATTCAAACATTGAAGTGGCAAAGAAAGGTAGGTGTAGGTGTAGGTGTAGGTGTAGGTGTGAGTGACTCACGGTTCTGCCATCAATGGAGTGGGTATCATGAAGAACGGAGTGGAGGACAGAAGGATCAGAGAAGAGAACGAAACCAAAGCCTCTGGGACGGCCGGTGATCTTGTCGCGCATGACCACGGTCTGAGTGACTTCTCCATAGTTGCTGAAGTGTTCTTTCAGCTTCTCCTCTGTTGTTTCCCATGCTATCCCTCCTATGAATATCTTTGCTTCGTCTGAAGAATCCATCTCTCTCTCTCTCTCTCAGAATCTAGGGGGTTAGGGTTTGTGTCGTACGATTCTTCTCTGCGGAAGAAAAAATATGCACGATTATGCCAAGAGATATTCTGAATTCCTTTTACGACGTCGCTTTGATCACCGCTCCTCTTATTCGGTTTTGGCTTTGGACCCCCAAAATTGAAATATGTGGTGGGGACACATGTTTTTTTTTGCCAGTGGTGATAGAGACTCAGGACACCCACACCCCCTCACATTTTGTGAGAAAGGGGGAGAGAGAGAAAAAAAAATTAAAAATTGAAAATAATGAATGATCATAAATTAATTGGGGTTTGCAGGGGTTACAAATTTTAGGGGTTTTAAGTTTTTTTTTTTCACCTGTTAAAAAAGATGTTTCGTTGCTGTTCTTGATTTCAGAATAATCGGTAGATTTAATCTAACTTATAGAAAGAGACTTACTATCGAGACATTCAATGAATCTCATCAACGTATTACAAAAAGGATCAAGTATCGATTGAAGTACAATGTAAAATTTCTTCAGAGAGAGTGCGCCTTAAGAATTCAATCCTGAGTCACTTTCTATGAAATAAAATGCATTATACACTAGGCCACCACCCTCGTTAATGAGACATATGTTTGTTTAGACGTAGAGTCAAAGTTATTTTAAATTTATTTATGAAATGTTGTTATTTTTTATTTTTTTATAGGATTTATGAAATGGTTAATTGATGAAAACTACACACCAAAGGACCATGTGCTATTTATTTCAAGATTTAATCCTTTTGATAATAAAAATATTTATGAAAAAGTTATTGGCACTAAAACATTAGTAAATGGAAAAGTCACTAGAGGCTCGGGATGATGTTGATGGCGATGAGGTAGATAATTAAGTGAATAAACAAGTGACATGGGTGTAAATATGTGATATTCGAATCAATAATTAAATAAATGTATGACATTTAAACAAATAGATAAAATAAATTTTGGACAAATAAAGTCCCTTCAGCGTAAAAAAATTAAGGGCAAATTATATATACACCCCTCGAGGTTTGGCTAAATTACAAATACCCCCCTGAGGTTTGAGAAATTACGAATTCCCCCCTGAATGCTATATTTACATAAGAAATTAGGGGGTAATTTGTAGACACATCACTAGAGCTCAAATTAGAGCTCTAGATTTAGAACTCTCTAGCATTTCCCTTAAATGAATAAACAAGTGACATGTGTGTAAATATGTGATATTCGAATCAATAGTTAAATAAATATATGACATTTAGACAAATAGATAAAATAAATTTTGGACAAATAAAGTCCCTTCAGCATAAAAAAATTAAGCTCAAGCCTATTCATTCAAAAAAATTTCAAAGGTAAACTTTTGTCCTTTATAAAATTAGTATTGTTTTTAAACTTGTATTATTATTTTGAAAATATGATTTTGAAAATGGAGTCAAAGTCTTTTTTGGCAATCAAGTTAAAAGTTAATTTATTAGTTTTTTGTCTTTTTTGAATCACATCACCTCTCTATTTGTTTATATATTTTTTCAAAAAAAGTAATAAAAAAAATTAAAAAATCAGTTTTTAATCTACTTTTCAAAATATCGAAAGGATAAATTACACATTACCCCCTTTATATTTGATCTTTTATTTCTCAATTTTTTTTTTGATCTTTTATTTTGATTTTTAAAGTTTATTTATTTATTTCATTTTAGCCCTTCACATTTTAATTTTTTTTTCTAATTTATTCTAAAAATAAACAAAAATTGATACAGGTGACGTAAAAATATTTTATTATATGTAAGCTCACAACTCTAATACAAACAAATATCTCAATAAAACAATAGTATATTTTTATATTATGTGATAATTAAAATGATATTTCTTATTTAATTTTAAAATTAGATTAAAAACATTTTAAAATATGAAAGGTTAAAAGAGAAAAAAAAAAAAAACTTCAAAACAAAAGTGAGTAAAAAAAAAAAAACCCCTTTAGTAGCTAAAGTAAAAACTGTCGCACTACATGTATTAATTAGTATACTAATACTAATTATGACATTATTATTGACTTCACTCGTTATATAAATTAGGGCAAATTACATATACACCCCTCCAGATTTGACAAAATTACAGATACCCCCCTGAGATTTGAGAAATTACGAATTCCCCCCTGAATGCTATATTTGCATAAGAAATTAGGGGGTAATTTGTTATGAAATATAAACCTCAGGGGGTAAATTGTTATGAAAATACAAACCTCAGGGGGCGGGATGTAATTTCCGAAACCTCAGGGGGGTATCTGTAATTTAACCAAACCTGGAGGGGTGTATATGTAATTTGCCCTATAAATTATAAATATCAAAAATTTTTAAAATTATATTATATCATCAATTAATAAGTTAATTGGTACGTGAAGAAAAAAAAAAAGAAAAAAAAGACCCTACCAATTGTTTTTCTTATATAAATGAGGTGCTCACATCGTAACGGTCACATTCCTTTTTCAAACAAACAAAAACCCTGCAAAGCCTCACTACAACTTCCTACAATTTCTTGGCTGTCCTGTTTTGTTTATCTCTCTTTCCTAAAAGTTTCTCACAATCCAATGCTCATGTCGTCTTCTTCTTCTTCACAAAGTGTAAACATGAAGACGATCTCTTAACAGCCAAATCTTTAACTTCTTGTTAGACTGAGAATCAGAGCAAGCTTAGAAAACCCTCTAAATGGGTTGTTTTCTTGCTTGTTTTGGATCTTCCAAAGATCGAAAACGCCGAAATCAGAGGAAGAACCAGGTCCTCCCTCGACACCAAGTAAGATCCATCTTTTAAAGCTTTATCACATGTATGTTTGTTTTCCAAATTTCTCTTTCCCTTATCTGTTTTGGTTGCTCAGAAAAACGAAAGAAAATTGTAATGGTTAAAAAAATTTCCAAGCCCTTCTGGGTTCCTGTTGTTTTGTTTTTTTCCAAACACTGACGGATCAAAACATTGTATTTGAGGATCAGTTGATTTGGGGTTTTGTTTTTTTAGGTCCCAAAACTTAGGAAGAAATTATGATGTCATTATGGTTGATTTTTTTTTTATTTTCTTATCGATGATATTGTAAAGATAAATTGATAAAGAGAGATACAGAGAGAATGAATTATGTATTGATTTATGTATTGAATGTATTTTGTACAATGGTTCAGGAGCTCCTTATAAAGGAGAAGTTTACAAACAATGCACCCAAAAGCAACCGAAAGTAAAGACATCATGATCAGCTAGGACACACTTTACAGCTAATAACAACATAGAATACACTAACAATATAATGCACTAACAGATATTTTCTCACCAGCCAAACACATTGCTTTGAAGTGTTTTTCTTATGTTACTCTACTTAATTCTAAAACTTTGTCACAGATACATGGAATCCGTAAGCCTCTGCAGCCTATTGTCTCTCCAGAACAGGACACCTCTGCAAAACCTGTGAACCTGATTTCAAAAGTTCCGTAAGTAATCAATTTTTCCTTCTTTTTTATTTTATTTTATTTTATTTAGGGTTCTTGAGTTTAGCTCGTTAATATATATATATTTTTTTGATTTTGAAAAACAAAAGAAATTATCTTGTTGCCTGAATTGAATCAGCGTGTGTAAAAAATCATGCATTTTGATTGCAGACATAGGCGTGAGGAACAATTGAGCCTGAGTACCCGAAAGAAAGTTACTTTTGATACAAATATCAAGACCTATGAGCCTGTTTCGGTCTGCGAAAGCATTGAAATTTTACCGGAAAGCAATATAGATGGTGAGATGAATAAGGAGGAAAGTTCAGGAAAATCGAGCTCATCCCACTTGCTATCGGAAGATGATTCTGTTATTTCAAGTGTTGAATCTTATCCTTCCCATCATAGGTATCAAAATTGCAGAGACAGTGATGATGAAGTGGAGAATTTTGAGTGTGCGGTCAGTGATTTGGATGGTGATGATGATGAAGAAGAAGAAGACTATGAAGATAATGATGAGGATGACAATGACAGATTTGTAGGCCAAGAAGTGTGGTTTGAGTCGATTCCAACTTCATCAATGGAATCAGGCACAGAAACTTCTTCAGCTCGAGTGTTTACGGAGGAGGTAGACAGTCATTTGACAATGAGTGGTTTGGGCGAGCGAGAAGTGAAAACAATTGGGTCAAACAAAAAAGCTCGAGATAGAAGTGTTTATGTTCATCCTGTGCTAAACCCTGTAGAGAATCTCACTCAATGGAAAGCTGTGAAATCAAATTTCACACTACCTTTAAAGGCTCAGAATGAGAATTTCACAGCATTTAGAGACAGTGATGATGAAGTGAAGGAGTTTGAGTGTGAGGTCAGTGATTTGGATGGTGATGATGTAGAAGAAGAAGAAGAAGAAGACTATGAAGATAATGATGAGGATGACAATGACAGATTTGTAGGCCAAGAAGTGTGGTTCGAGTTGATTCCAACTTCATCAATGGAATCAAGCACAGAAACTTCTTCAGCTCGAGTGTTTACGGAAGAGGTAGACAGTCATTTGACAATGAGTGGTTTGGGCGAGCGAGAAGTGAAAACAATTGGGTCAAACAGAAAAGCTCGAGATAGAAGTGTTTATGTTCATCCTGTGCTAAACCCTGTAGAGAATCTCACTCAATGGAAAGCTGTGAAATCAAATTTCACACTACCTTTAAAGGCTCAGAATGAGAATTTCACAGCATTTAGCTCTGAGCCGACTTTCAAGCAATCATCACCACTCCGTTTCAAGTCCAAACCGGATCAATTCAAGTATCAAAATCAAGAAATAGCTGTTGATGCTAGTCTTTCAAGTTGGATTGTCTCCTCTGAAACCACACCCTCCAAGAAGACTGGCTTTAATGGGTTTGAAACCATGTCTCAGGGATCAAATTCTGTGATGAGCATAGAAGATAGACCAATTTTATTGACAGTGGAGGAACTCAAACAGTTTTCAGCATCGTCCTCTCCAAGGGGGTCACCTAGTCGATGCCCATAATAGGTACTGTTGGGACATATTGGAGTCACACAGAGCCAACCAAGGGTCACGGTTCATTGTCTTCCTATAAAGGCATACCAAACACAACCAGCAAGTACAGAGAGGTATTTGCTTTGTGAAGTGAAATTTCACGTGTTATGTGTGCAATATAGGTAAATGTTGGAATCTAACATGAAGAGGGGGTAATGGTTTGCAGGATAAGATAGGGAATTCAGACAAGGTTGGAGAGAGCTTTGAACAGCAGACATGCTGCTGATGCTTAATCTACATATATTCCCAGTGTTTTTTGTGAGATGGTCTTGGACTGTTTGTTTTTTCTTCAATTCTTTTTTATTTATTTTTCTTTCACAGTTCATTTGTTATTGTTTTGTGGATTGATATATGTGGGTAGTGTGCAAAATTGTTTGTTTGCGTAATTCCTTATTGTTTTGACATTTGATAATCAATGGATTGAATTTTTTTATTTACTCATTATTTTCAACTATCTTCCGGAGATATTGTCTAATGAAAATATGCTAATGATTGGAAGTGCAAACTGGCTGGGATGGCTTTTGGAGCTGAGACATCTTTTTGCTTCCCTTACTAAATTTTGGTTGCTCTGAAAATGTAATTCTTCACCCCACTTTTGATTATTCTTAACAACTAACTTCATTTAAGATAGGAAAATGGAGGAAGATGATGAACTTTTAAATGCTGATGTGTTGATGATCTTTCTTTGGAACACTTGTGTGCAATTCATCATAATTTTAGCATGGGAAGCAGAGCCTGGGATAATCTTTTAGCAGTCTTGTTGGGGTGAAGAAAATTAGCTATTCATATATCCTAATAATATTTGGGCCAATGGGCTATATATCATTAATTATAGTTTGACTTGATAAAAACCAATGCTTCTTTCTTGCTAACATTGAACCACTGTAAAAATTTTGATCATTAGTAAAGAGCTGAAAGGAAAGAGGTACTGCCTCACTATTCCCTTGGTATTCAACCGTATATCATATGTTTATCATAACAAACCTTGTATGCATTTTTTAAGACGAGGGGTGTGAGCCCACTCGATGGATGTGCTTAAAATAAAAATATTAATCTTAAATTGAAAACATATCTTCTATGTTATTTAAGTGGTGAAAGTGTTATTTATTAAGTCAACAATGACCATAAATTCAAGTCTTGTACTCCTTTTATAACTATTTGTTTTTTTTCCCCTTTCGGATGGGAAAATTGGCACTTGACAAAAGGAGAGAAGTAAGTTCATGGAAACTAAGCGATTTATTCACTTTTAGTAATAGCATAGATAGATATATCATTTTGGATGGAGAAATTGACACTTGACAAAAGGAGACAGGTAAATTCATGGAAACCAAGAGAGTTGTTCACTTTTAATAATAGTATAGATAGATATATCATTTTGGATGAAGAAATTGACACTTGACAAAAGGAGACAAGTAAGTTCATGAAAACCAAGCAAGTTGTTCACTTTTAGTAATAGTGTAAATAGATATATCAATTACAAAATGTATAGGCTACTTAGAGATGGTACATTAAAATAAAGTCCCCCAATGCAATAAAAACTTGAGAATTTTGCTTGCAGCGGGCAACAAATGTTCCCCAGATTTATAATGAATGTGACAAATTTCAAGTGGTCAAAGAAAACGAGAAACTGAAGAGGAACATTATTGTAGAGCTGGGACGTAAGAGGTGAAAAATTTGGTAAAGGGTTGTCACTTCCAACATTGGAGCTCCCTGAAGATGGGTTGGGTGGTGGTCTTGACTCTACAGTTATGCCAGGACTCCGGTGCAAAATTGTATGAAATCCAAAGCGCCACCAGAAAGTTTGATGATTTGAAAGCACTGCGCAATCTCGGGGAAGCAACTTGAAAAGAAGAATTGATTTAGGCAATTATGCCTGCATAGATCTGTCTAGATTATACATTGTTTTGTTATTATGCATGAATTGTGTAAATTTGCAAATGGTATGGAAAAGATGTCTTAACACCATATCAGTTTGATAGTTGTGTTGTGTGATGTTATGATCAGAATATGGCTTTTAAGTTTTCTTCTTGTGAATAGAGTCTGATAGATATCCAAGGGGGTCACCTAGTCGATGCCCTTTAGAGCACTCCACTTAAATTTGCCGGTTTGATGATTGGGAGGATTTGGGTTCCCTCTGCCAATTTAGGGATCATTTAGTAATTAAAGGGGTGAGCATGGTTCGGATTGGACCGGATTCGGATAAAATCATGACCAATCCGTTATCTACGGTTCCTGAAAAATTGGAATCAATCCAATTCGTTTAAATCATAGAACCAATCCATTTAAATACGGATTGGATCGGTTTAAGATCACGGATTCACATAATTAAATAACAAAAATATATATATAACACTTTAATTTCATAAAAATATAAATTAAAACTAAAAACTAACAAACAAAAGTAATAACAGAAGATATTATACGGTTTTAGGTTTGAGTTTAGATTTTATATAAAATAAGAGAAGATACTATGATGGAGGATGTATAATAAAAATATATACTATTTATATACGGTTCGGATCGGTTCCAATCTGGAACCGTGGAGTTCAATCCGGAATCAATCTGTGTACTACGGATTTTTAATTTTTCAATCCGGAACCGAACCACAGATTCAAAAAACCAATCCAAACCTATCGGATTGGACTGGATTGAATCGGATTACGGATTCACGGATTCCTTACTCAACCCTAATTTTTATTTATTTATTGTTTTAAAAAACATTGAATAGCGACATACTGTTTTAGAATTTAAATAACTATAAGAAAACTGGTTTCACCATAAGGATTTAGACCATTACAAATTAAAACTAAAAACTAACAAACAAAAGTAATAACAGAAGATATTATACGGTTTTAGGTTTGAGTTTAGATTTTATATAAAACAAGAGAAGATACTATGGGGGAGGATGTATAATAAAAATATATACTATTTATATACGGTTCGGATTGGTTCCAATCTGGAACCGTGGAGTTCAATCCGGAATCAATCTGTGTACTACGGATTTTTAATTTTTCAATCCGGAACCGAACCACAGATTCAAAAAACCAATCCAAACCTATCGGATTGGACTGGATTGAATCGGATTACGGATTCACGGATTCCTTACTCAACCCTAATTTTTATTTATTTATTGTTTTAAAAAACATTGAAACTAGAAACAAAAATACATTTGGTAATACCAACAATTTTGAAAATTGTACGCCAATCTCAAATCTAAGATCCAAACACAGTCTTGAACAATACAATTTCACTTCATTTTCTAGTTTCACCTATGCCAATCTCAACAACAACAACAATCATTGAAACCTCTCCACGCTCACTTTCTTGGACTTCGAGTTCTTTAAAATTCATGAAATCTTGCCTGTCGCTTCTTCACTTGATGTTTCTTCAAGTGCAAATTCCGAAAAACATCTTCAGAAATAAGAAGCTCCTGATATCTGTAAAATTCAGAGGGGCTCATACACCAACTGAACATGTCCCTGAGTCAACCGCCAAATACCCATCTCCAAACATTGATCCAAAATCGCAGTTCATAAACAATCCTAAAATAAAGTCCTTATCATCCCACTTTGAAAAAAAAAAAATAAAAAATCATGTAATACATATTTGGTTAATGCACCTGAAGCTTACTCTTGTCCAAATGCGCCACATTATCGGTAACAAAAGAAAAAAAATTATCAAAAAGGCTCACAGAAGAGAGCTCAGAATAAGTAATTACTCCATGGGCAAAAAGAGATCTTCATTCTGCACTTGAAAGTTTGCAAAATTCATCATTGCTTAAATAAAAGAAAAACTATGGAGAATTGTCATAACGAGAATTTAACTAAAAAGGAGCAATTTTTTTTTTTATATTTATTTTATATTTTTAAATGTTAAAAGAAGTGCCAATCTGGATATGAGAGTTACAAAGCTCCTTGCACCATTCAGCTAAAAGTCTATCCTACTACTGATATATTCCACTGTCAACCCTAAGATGATTTGTCAGATGATATGGCTTATTCACCTGGTTTTGCACGCCTTGAGGGTTGGGAACTAGATCCACCAACAACATTTGCCTCAAGATCCTCGGAAGCTTCACTTCCAGGAGCCTTTTGTTTCTCTCCCAATTTGCTGGAAACTTGCACTGATGCCGTGTTGGCGTTAACCTTGGCATTTTCACTTTCTTGTTGGTCCAACTGAGAGGCTCCTGATTCATTATTGGAAGTAGGGGAATTTGGAATTGCATCCATCATCTCAGCAGAAGAAGGGTTTTCCAGGGCGGAGGATGACGAGGTCTTAAGAAAGTCACCTCCTTTGCATTGCTTCTCAAACATCATCTGGAGGTTTCTCCCTTGTTCTTCTATTCGCAGCTGTAGCTTTCTTTGGATCTGCAGAAAGATGTTCAATATTCATCGATAATAGAGATGGCTAAGGCAAAAAGAGCCGCCAATTTGATTTACCACTATCATGGTAGCAAGCAGCAAATAATTTTCTAACTAGTCCAATGGGCACTTGATTATAAACTAGAAAGTCAGTAAGTATCATTTGACAAAAGCAAGACCACCCTGCTGTAATTTCGGTAATTTCTAAACATCCATATAGATGATATAAAGGTAAAATCCACTTTACCTCTTGTGGTATGGCCTGGTAATTTCTAAACATCAATATATATATGTATAATTTCCATTTTTTAATAAGTTACCGTGTGTACAGAAATGGTGGTGGTGCTGCTTTCCATTTGCATATTTTTAGAAGACAGGAGGGTCCAGTGCAATATCACAGGGCCATGAAGTGGATTTTCCCATTAGATACAATCACTATGAAGTTTATTGGGACATTAAGGCTGTGTTTGGATGATAAATTTGGATAGGAGTTTCAAAAGGGAAAGGAAAAGACAAGGAAAATGCAAATTAAAAATAAGTTAAATTTTTTCTCCATGTCCCTCACCTTTTCCTTTCTCTTTCGAAATACCTATCCAAATCCATGATCCAAAAACAACCTAAGTGAATCTATGGTATTCAATATTGAGAGTTTGTTCTCAGAAGTATGGATTATGAGGGTTCCTGTGTTGCCATTTGTTGCACTAAAAGGGAAATATGAGATTCTTTTACGTTATCAATAGAATCCCAAGCCTTAAGCATCTACCTTCAAACATCTCCATGCTATTTCTGGGATATCTAATATAGATAAGGTATGGTGTACAACCAGGATATTAAGTTTTCTCACCCAACTTGCTTTTTGACAACTACCAAAAACTTATTTTTGGGGGTAAAAAAAAAAAAAGACTATGGGTACCCACAAATTATCTTCAATAGCTTAATATTATATATATATATATATTAATCAATTGAGAGAGTGTGCGTAACTAGCAAGTGAAACACACAAATAGAAATCTATGAACTCAAAATGCTCAAAGATTAACAAACATAAAGGAGAAAAGGCAAAATAATATGCAAATTTGGTATTAAGAGGTGAACTCAATAGTACTCTACTCCATTGTTACTGGAAAATGCTAATACTCTAGTGATTTACGTTTTGGAACACATGTTCTGAAACATACCATACTTCTGTTCCAAAATGGTGAATTTAGCAATAAAAAGCGATCCCAAAAATTTTTCCCCATATATTTCATTAAGGTTTCCTCATTTTTATTGATCATCCTTAAAGGTTTCCTTACACGAAAGAAAACCGAATTTCATCAACTAAATTCTAAGGAGAGTGGGGTTTTGGCAAAACAAAACATAAAAAAATGGCTCATAGAAATATATTGTTACATGATTAAATTGAATTTTATTTTTTATTTTTTAAACATTTTATTGGATGTCTAATTGTTAAAAAAAGAAAATTACTCTAGAAGTACTTTAAATTCTAGTAGTATAATTTATACAATTCTACCCTTATTGTACCACATTCTAGAAAATATGGGATACCACGTTCTCATTTATGTAAGAAAATGATCCACATTCCAGACAACATAGCTCTCGTCTTATTTTCTGCAATTTCTTTGGCTGTGATTAACTAAGCCTTAACAAGCATCAAACTGCCAACAAGAAGGCATGACTGAAAAACTAAAACAAAAAACTGTTTCAGAGAAACAAATTCATACCTCTAACTGGTCATGCAGGCGCTTCTGGACTTCCACCTGTAATCGTAATGCTTCAGTGATGTCAATACCCCTGTTCACACAGAAGCAAGAGGTCTGAATAAATTCAATCTAGCAATCTATGTGGGAGATACCCGATACAAAACTTTTCTAGTAGCCTGAATTGCATCAAGAGGTAGAAAGCTTCAAATGCATTCAAAGAAAATATGTCAAAATCATAAAAAGAAAAATGCAAAACAATACATATCCTAACAGTGGTATGCAGAGACAAGTCAGAACAGCATCACTGATTCACTATCAATACTGAAATAATTCCAAAAGCTACAATGCACGACCAATCTTGACCAAGAAATTTGTTTGAACTTCTTAGGCTACTTTAGATGGCAGGAGGAGCTGCTTAGAGCATGAATGGACTGGAATGGAATGCCCATTCTAACTTTGCATTCCCTTTCCCTTGTTTGGTACCTCTTATTTAAGTGGGAATAGCCATTCCAATAAAATGGCTATTACAACAAAATGTGGGAATACCTATTCCTTCTTCCAACCTAAGGAATGGCCATTCCATTCCATCATGGAATTATCATAAATTTTATTATTTTTTTTGTTAGCACTTAAAAAAAATATTATTATTTAACTACTACCACCATTCCATTCTCTAACCACTGCCACCGCCACCCTATTGCCACCACAACCATGACTACCATGACCACCATGGTCGCCGCCACAACCATTCTATGAGTTTTATAGGTATAACCAAACATGAGAATAAGAATTATCATCCTATTCCTATGTAATTTCATGTTGGCAACCAAACAATGGAAGGGGAATGGACATTCCATTCCATTCAACCTTGTATTTCATTCTTACTCTCATTCCATCGTTACTTCATTTCATTCCATTGTACCAGGCATGCTATTAATGCAACAAGTTGAAAACAAAAAGCTTCATCAAGAACACCAAAATTGATTTCAGATGAATAGCAAAGATATAAAAATAATTGCCACAGAGGAAATATAATTAAGAATCAAGGTTCCATTTATTTAAAAGTCAAAAAAGCCATTGAACGGAGGAATGATTTATTGTATGTGGTCATTCTAATATCATTTCTACAATTTAGACTCTTACTTTCATTATAAAGTAGTAACTCAACAGAAATTCAACAATTAAGGCAGTAAAACTCAATTAGAAAAGAAGAACATGCCTGGACGATGAAGATAATCATTACCAATCAAAACAACATGCTTAAGAAAATTTAATACCTTTAAATTCAATATCCTGAAGTTCTGGTGGTTTTGAGATTAATCAAAAGTTCATGGTGCAAGTCCCCCATTTGCCATTTGATTGTTAATGAAACTTTTTTAATTGTAATTAAACCTCCATTCAAGAAGGAAGAAACAAGTAACATACAAAGAAGATAACCAACTCTTATTGAAACTATCCACAGGGAGTTCTATTAACAGTTCTCACATACTCTTGGGCTTAGTAGCATGGGGTTGGATAATTGACACAAACAACAGATAAAAGGGCACCATATTGTGAAACAACATGGATTAACAGATGTTGAGAGTGACGCAGGTATTCAAATTTGTTGAGGTTTGACTGTATTGAGTCAAAGACAGTTCCCACATCAGGGGTTTGACTATAGTGAGTCAAGGACAGTTCCCACTACATGGGGACACCTCACATTAGCATTTTCAACTGTGTCCAATGCATAGAGGGTGGGCAGCGATAAGGTTGCTCCATTGCGACCTACCATCCAAGCTTTCCTTTAAATTAATTTAATCCTTTTTCATTATTTTTATGATTTATAGGTGTTACAGTTGTACATAAAAAATTAAATTTTTTTTGCCATGTCAAGTTCTGCATTTTCTGAATATCTTCTCGCCGTGTTGCATTCATGTCTCGTGTCTGTGTTTGTGTTTTTTAGATTTTTTATATTCTAGTTAAACAACCCATCAGCCAATATATAATTCCTGGTTCCCCAAAGTTGATGTCAAACATCAAACCAACAAAATCTCTAAATACTTTGGCCCGCAACAGTAGTTTAACTAGGTTCAAATACCATACCTTCATGAAAAAGGAAAAGAAAAACCCTAATAATGTTGACTGGTAAGAAACAAAATATACTTCTTTTGAATAACTAAACCACCGAATCATGAAACACATAAATTGGAGATAAAAGTTATAGCCCATGTATGTCTTCCGAACTCCAGAAAACTGTATACAATCTAAGCATCAATTTAATCAACTCTTAAAAACAAAACATTTTCATTCTAGATGAGATTTACTAGTACTATGAGAGCAGGTCTATATTAACTCAATTATTGAGGCAACAATAGGTAAACTAAGGTCTCTGAAAATATAAATGAACCACGACTAGCAAATGCTTCAGAAAAGCATGATATCTTAAGGCAATCCCTTCAAGAAAAAGACAAAAAAGCTATGTTGCATGATGGATTTATTTATAAGTTCTTCCAAGTCAATAAACTTACATTTTCAAGTCCAGAGATGTCAATTCCTCAATAGGAGTCAACCTTTTCTCTGAGGATCCTGCAAATCAAAAGAAAAGACCAACTTCATTAAACTACTGCCACTCTTACAAATTTTCACATATTATGGCCCATAAGGTAAACAAGTTGCATATACCACCAAAGGAAAAAGTCAGACTTTCAGATAGGAATTTGAGCCCCCCCCAAAAAAATAAAATGTGAGGAGGAAAAGGAGTTGACTTAATATATGAAGACAGTTTGCCTTACATAGGGCAGTGCTGAAACAATAGAATCCAAAGAAGTATGGAACCATAAGCATCAAGTGATCAATAGGAAGATAATATAAAAAATTATTGCATTAAATATCTACATCACCGAGTAATTTCCAGATAAAGGAAAGGGCATTTTGATAACAGAGTGAAGAATAGTTACAGAAAATACAAACTGAATTAAAAAGACAACTTTTACTCTTCTTTTCTTTTTTTCCAAATTTAAGTGGGAAAAAAGTTCACAAATTTTGTAAAAACGACACTTAAAATTGCAAAAAAAACAATTATACAAAGCCAATCATGTTTTAAAATTGAAAACATCATATAAATGGGATAAAAAACAGAGAGAGAGAGAGAGATAATTGGGGAACATATACAATTCTTCCACATGATTGTAACAGGCTATACTACAAAGTTCTAACACACCTGCAGGAAAAGAAAAAGGAAAAAAAAGAGAGTAATGAAACCGCACACACAAAAAAAGCACTTACCAACTCTTTTTAAAAAAATACAGTACAAAAAAATTACTTAAAAAAATCATTACCAACTTTAGCATGGAAAGATTGATAATTCATCGTAACTTGTAAATCTATTATCCTGAAAAGTGAATGCATTCAACTTGTGTTTTTATTTTAGGAGGTCATTTTCTCAAAAATAGGCTGGACTTGATGTTTCATTCACCTCATGCTGTGCCAATGCTCCACTAACAATGCATAAAACATCATAATTATAGTTGTACAGAGCTCATTGAAGAAAGGAATTACAACATAAATACAAAGAGGATGAGATGGTGCAACTAAGTGTACAGAAAAGAATATCAGGAAGCTATTCTTGTTTACCGTCTGATGACTCTGGCCTGTATCTGGCTGTTCTATACTTCTGCAATTCAACAAATAAGAAATTCCCCAATTCAATGATGCAAAATAAAATATCCAATTCTGAGAGGAATGGACATCAAGATAAAAAAACAAGTGAACATACCTGAAGGTGGCTCTTCACATGATAGATTGTCAAACTTTCTACTTTCATTAGCTTCAGTACACCCTTAGGAGTAGCTTCTGCAGTTCAAAAAGTAGCCTCATATTATTATTATTTTTTTTTGATAAATAAATGGATTTTATTAGAAAAGCATCAAGATGATGCAAGGAATACAAAAACCACCCACAAAGGGCCAACCAAACTATCTAAGTAAATCCTCCACAAAATCTACAAAAACCAAAACACTTGGATCGGCTAAACCCGTATCCCAACTATGCAAAACCAGCAACAACCGACTCTCAAGCCAGGAAACGGAACGGGTTTAGCCAACTCACAAGCAAATGAGATTAAGAAGTACTGTAAGGTGAGAAGAGCTACATACTTTCGCTGCCGCCAAGCTTATTGACCGCTTCAACAAAAGCCTCATGAAGTTCAGGCGTCCAACGCATGCGTGGTTTGATCGGTGCACTACTTGCTGAGGTTGTGGAACTAAGAACACCACAAGGCTCTCCAGATGGAGCTGGAATCTGCTGGGGTACTTGGGGCTGGACTGCCAAAAAATTTGTTGATGGTTTCACCCCCTGATATGCTATCTACAGTAACACACAAGGACACAAGGACACAATAATACAAATCGAGCAAGTTATGATACACTTCTTATAAATAACTTGGACAAAAGCTAGTGAAAAAACAGTAAAATGATGAAATGAAATCTTAATAGTCTTGCATCGTGAGGAGACTCACCTTTGGTTCTGGATCTTCAACACTGCTATCAACAAAAAGTTCATTCCAATTAGTTGTCAAGGAATCATCATCATTGATTAGCTGGTCTGCCCAATCGTGCCAGTCGGTTCGTTTACTAAGGTCTTCAGTTGCCATGGTACAAACACCATTATTGCAGCTTCCTATTTGACAGTTCCGGGTAGGAGCATTAACAGGATAATTGAAGAAATCTGGTGGTGAATCTGCACACCAGGAATAATTGTTGCTCGATGCTGTAGATTGGAGCATCCCAGAATCACAACGATCTAGTGGCATTGATGTACCACTTTTTGATGACTGAGAAATAAAGGGATACTTTCTTGAATGCTTTTCAAGATGTGCAATGGAAGAAAAATGGAGATTATTGGAGAATCCTGACATAGATGAAAACATAGGACCAGCAACCTCGCTGTTGGAGGGTAAAGAAGAAAGAAGACCCACAGAATTTGCATTAATTTCCCTCTCCATGGAAACCTGTTGAGAGTCGGGCAACTGAGGATATTTCTCTTCAGAGGGAAGAATGGGTAAAGATGATGATAGAGCTCCAGAAGCTCCAAGATTGCTGAGTTGTCCTGTACTTGAGCTCTGAATAGATAAAGCAGGGCGAGCTTCCATTTTTTCCACTTCTAATTTAACAAGCCAGCACAGTTATTCAATCAATTGAGGCTAGCCTAGAACATTTAACAATACTTGAAACCTACACCATAATGAAGGTTAAACAAATTATTGCTTCTCCAAAGATAGAGAAGAAAATGCAACACATCAATAAAAATTTGAAACTAAAACATGGAAATGTTTCTCCTTGGACCAGAAATTAAAAATTAGCTCGAGAGCTAAAAGAGCTATTATGAATAGACATCACGAATAAAATAAAAATCTTATAAACTAGCCCAAAAGAAACAGCAAATATAATCTACTCCAATGTTTCAAGGTGAGAAACCTAAAATTTACATGGAAAAATATTATAAACAATTAAAATATGCACTACCTTCCAAAAAGTCTCCTAAAGATACTTCTAAAGACCTAGTTTTTTTTTTAAAAAACTTTTTGGCCAACAAAAAAAAAAAGAAAAAAAAAAAAGAAAAAAACGAACAAACACAACAAACAAAAAAAACTTTTTGGCCAACAAAAAAAAAAAGAAAAAAAAAAAGAAGAAAAACGAACAAACACAACAAACAAAAAAGAAGAAGAAACGATTCAAATGTTGGGTTTGTGGGGCCAAATTAGTATTGTACACTTCAACATGCTGTTGTGAATTGAATTAAGGGTATTACAATAATTTGTTGATGTAAACCCTAACATATATATTATTGTCTTCATGGCAACTGTATTGTACTATTCTCTTCTTTCAGTATAGTAGAACTAGTGTGAGCCGTGGACATGGGCAATCTTGCCGAACCACGTAAATCTGTGGGTCACGTTTTCTTGTTTGTGATTGATTCTTCTTGCTTCTTTTTTTTTTTTTGGTGCATGTGTGTGTGTGTGTGTGTGGTTTATTCCGCAACATCAGAGTAACACGTCCATGACAAAGATTGGCCCTGCAAAAAACAAAGAATGGAGAAAACTTCAGTCTCACGACACCAACACGTTCATCATAGAATCCTCTCTGAAATACATGTGAAACTATTTGAATCTTGATATTGTTGAAGAATTTTACAAGCAACAAATGCCACTTATAAGAACTTTCAGTACTTTTTTCCCTGGCAAAAAATTTCAGTACTTGTACTGCTTATTTACTGAAAGTAGCTGGAATTTGTTAAATGTTACCTCACTTGACAAGCTGAAGCTTAAAAGTAGTCCTTCAAGTACTTACTGCTTTAGGCATTTCCACAAGGGAATTTTAAAAGGTTTTAGGCTCCAATACCTCACCCTTATAGCCCGCAAACAATAGTCATCATTGGTGTGTAAAAGAATACTGAAGATGAACAGAACTTTGTGGTACATTTTATGGTAGACGAGGGTGAATCATGATATTTTGTGATATTTAATGATGAGACACCATCAAACATTAAAGGAACAGCTGAGACCAAGGTTCTGAAAAGCGATTGCGGTCGCCGTAACGGTGACGGTGGCGCGGTTGTAGTTACGGTTACGGGGTGTAAAGGCCGTAGCGTAACGGTTGCGGTAACCGGAGCCGAGAATTTTTTTATTTTTCGCATAATTTGAAAAAAACTTACCGATATGCATATTTTTTTTCCATGATCATATTTATTGAGTTTAAAATAAATATTGATCAAGTTTTGTAAATTTTTAAGTATGATCCACTATATTTCATATTTTTAAATCACTATAAACTGAGTTTTTTACATTTTATTTTAATAATTAATGACTTTATATTTTATAAAAAATCAATCACTAACTATTATATATAAGATAAACAATGACAAAAGCTAGAGAATAAAAAAGAGCCTAAATATATATATATATATATACATACTTTAACCAAGTCAAATAGATGATGACCACACTTATTATTATTATTTTCAAACAATATATAGATAGACACACACAAACAAAATGGTTGAGCGATAGTAGCTGAATAGAATAGCATAGGTTTTACACCTTCAACAAATCAATAACATGTTCTTCATCTTCTCTCTTCTCTCTCTATCTCATGCTCCTCCATCTTCTCTCTTTATCTTCCCTCTTCTCTCTATCCCTCTTCCCTCATTTTCAGCTTTTTTTGTGTGCTTTTTTGAAAGAAGCAGTTCGGAACCGTTACGTAATAGTGCGTAACAGGCCGTTACGGTTGTTACAACACCGTTATGACCGCTATGGCAGTCGCTGCGGCCGACACACCTGTGAATCTCAATCACATTGCAAAAGCGGCCGTAACGGGTGGCAGTAACTACCGCAACTGTTACGTAACGGCGTTACGTAACGATTGCGGTCGCTTTTTAAAACCTTGGCTGAGACCTTCCAGTGGCAAAAGGTTTCAAAATTCTATGCCAGGGAAGGACATTACTATAGCAATTCCCCCAAAGTAATACACACTAAATTTGTGGTATTTCTTGATTGGAAAATGACAGATGTTGACATATCTTGTAATTATCCATGACTAAGTTCATCATCGTGAGGAAGCTGAAAGGCCTAGCAAGTTAATGGAGTTTTAATGTAACAAATAAATTCATGAGACCAACGGCCCACTTGTAAATACAAAGGGATAACCATGAAAAAGAGCATTTCTTTCAATGGACCCACCCAGTGTTGGCAATTGAATTAGGTTCATGTAAGCATGACAGACGAGCAGCCTGAAATGAAAAAAGGAGTTCATTCAACACATGATGGTATTACATGTAAAACAAGTGATATATGTATCCAAGTAGAAGAAAATTTGAGGTTTTGATCCAACATAAACACCAAAAATTACACATGGATGCATGACACTAGCAAGAGTAGCATGTCTTCTAGGTGTCCTTCTAAATAAGGGCAGCAAACATGAAGTAAATATTGGATGTAACGGTGATACCACGTGGTGGTATCACCATCCAATGAACAATCTTGATTTGCTAGAGGGACCACAACAATATTGGGTTAGTGGGAAACAAAGACTTGTCCACTTAGTCCCTTTGAGGTATTTTATTGGCCGGTGACACTACGTAGGATGGTGTCACCATTACACTCAATATGTTCCAACTTTATAAAAGTAAGCAGCCTAGTAGAAAAAGAAAAAAAAAAAAAAAAACACTCAAATCAAATTTGTGGGCAATTCGAGCCTAGCTTGAGTTCAATTTATGGAGCTTAAGCTTGGGCTGGGCTTGGGGCCTTGGGTAGACAAACTTGGGTTGGAAGTCGGACTTAGGCCGACCTAGACAACTCTAATCACAACTGAAGTTGGTATTGGACATCCCCTCAACCCACCCGAACTTGCCTGAGTTGCAACCCTAGTAAATACTGCAGGGGATGCCAATGGGTCAGGTTTTTTCGGGTTTCACACACAAATTAACTTTAAACTCAACTATTTTAATGATACGATTTGTACACCCCTATACTTTACCCTACCTTATGGACACTCTCCCAAACTTTTTTTTTTATTATTAAAATTGGGTTGGAACAAATATAATCGGGTCGGGTAATTTTGCCAGCAATTTGCACCCAACTAATAGAGAGAACTCAAGAATTATGATTCTCAGAAGCATTTGAAACCTTCAAAACCATCACACATAACAACAAAAACAAAAAATCTACAGTAAATATTAAAGACCAATTTAAAGTCAAATTCCAGTGATAAAAAACCTAAAATATTAAAGTCATTGTGTGGTACTTGTAGAGATGGCAATTTAAACCCGGCCTGATGGGGACCCGACCCTCCGACCCCGATTAACACGGGATTTCCCCGAAAAATACCCCCGAGGGCCGGGGACGGTATTCAAAAAAAAATCCCCGATCATTTTTGGGCCGGGGACGGTGATAAGTTCTTTCGCCCCGGCCCCGTTCCCCGTCCCGTTTCTCCCCGCCTCCCTCTCCCTCTCTCATTTCAGATCTAATATATTATACTCATCTAATATAATATAATATAATATTATATCTAAAAATTATAATACATACTCATCTCTCTCTCTTATTTCAGATCTCATCTAACAATTCCAAAACCAAAACACCTCTCATCTCTCTCATTTCAGATCCCTCTCTCTCTCTCATCTCAGATCCTCTCTTCCTCCGCCGCTCTATCTCTTATCTCTCCGCCGCCATGGTCGCACTCCGCCACTTGCTCTCAAGCTCGTTGCACCAGAGCTTTGATAGCTCCGCCGCTCGTCGCTCCACTACAACCAAAGTCTCCGTCTCTCTGTCACTTTGACAGCTCCACCGCCATGGTCACTCTCTCAAGCTCGCCGCCCGTCACCGATCAAGACCTCTCTTCTCTCCCTTTGTGTCTGTGTGTGTGTGATGATGATGATGATGGCGACTCAGATCTCAGATCTGCAGATGTGTGTGTGTGTGTGTGTGAGATGATGATGATGATGATGATAATGACGACTTAGATCTCACATGTGTGTGTGTGTGATGAAGACGACTCACTCAGCTCTGTAACTCTGTCACCGTCGGGAATTTTACGGGGTCGGGGAAACCCGATCCCCGTTAGGGAACGGGGGTGGGGGGAGTGAGGGGTTCCCCGTCGGGGATCGGGGAGTTCCATACTTTCGGGGATCGGGGACGGGGACGGGGACGGGGAGGGCAATCCCAGGCCCCGCCCCGCCCCGTTGCCATTCCTAGGGACTTGCATCCCCATATGAAACCAACTCTTAAAAACCCAACTAAACACAATTCAATCAAGTGTTTATCATAACTCATTCACTCAGCAGTATGTATATTTTTCACTGTACTGCCCCCTCCAATCACAAGCTAACTAAATCACAAGTCATCAATAAAAACAGCAAAGCACCAAAAATCGAGTTCCTAAAATCCCCATATTTGAAGCATGCACAAGCATCAAATATGTATTCTAACATCACAATAATTTCCATGAATTTAGCAATACATAATAGAGTGAGAAAGAGAGAAACCCAATTATTCAACATGCAGGCAATAATAAAGATTATAAAAAGAAACAAAATTGAAGCAAACCCAATATGGGTTATTCAATTGACAGCAACAACAAACATAAATCATCCAGATTCAACACTCTAGGTAACGCAAAATTGAGCAGAATCACGAAATGGGTATTCGAAATTCTTACCTAAAGATCACAGAAAGCCGAGAAACTGAGAATGATTGACAGAACTCTATACATACATATATATATGATAAATCATCTTGTAATTGGACAGGTGGGTTTAGTCGGGGCTCAGTCACCGATCTCCGACGCAGTGAACGGTGACGAGTGTTGTTTTTTTTGGCTTTGATTAGCTTTTGCCTTGTGGTAGAGAAGAATCCACGCGCCATATGGGACGCGTGGAATCATTTGAGAAAGGTTGGTGACTGTCAGGTGCGTGGATCGTCCTCTAGATCTAGTCTAGACATTGATAAGGTATCTGTGATTGGACAGTGAGGATACTCCCGTGGGGATGCACGTGGGTTTAGAATTGGGAGATTGTTGTGTATTTGCTCCAGTTGCCCACGAGGATCTTGTATGTTTAGACCAACTCCAACGCTTCATAAAATTTGACATTAAATTTAAAATTTGGTGAAAAAGTAATTTTTAGGTGCTTTAACGGTTTCACTAAATCAATATCAAATCGAGAATTTACCAAACCTTTCACCAAAATGAGAACACGCTCTAGGTTTCACCAAATCAGTGTTTGTTACCGTTGGGGGAGACAAACCGGTCGACCAGCCGGTTGACCAACCGGTCGACCATAAAACGGTTCAAACAGTTAAAAAAAAAATAAATTTTGCCTTACCGGTCGACCAATCGGTTGTCCCGGAAAAAGTTCAGACTGTTCAAAAAAAAGGTTCAAACAATTCAAAAAAAAAAATTTTTTTTTGCCTTCACCGGTCGACTAGCTGGTCGACTGGCCGGTTGACCAACCGGTTGTCCCGGTGCAAATTTGATGAAAATTTGATGAAAATGAACCATTGGAGCACTCGGTATCAGATTGAGAAAAAAATCATTTTTTTACTCAGATTTGATGAAAATTTTGGTAAACCGTTGGAGATGCTCTTAGACCATCTCCAACGCTTCATCAAATCTGGCATCAAATTTGAAATTTGGTGAAAAAGTGACTTTTTGGTACTCCAACGATTCACCAAATCAATATCAAATCGAGAATACACCAAACCTTTCACCAAAATGAGAACACACTCTAGGTTTCACCAAATCACTGTTTGTTACCGTTGGGGGAGACAAACCGATCGACCAGCCGGTTGACCAACCGATCGACCATAAAACGGTTCAAACAGTTCAAATAAATAGGTTCAAACAATTTATAAAAAAAAATTTTTTTTGCCTTATCGGTCGACCAACCGGTTGTCCCGGAAAAAGTTCAGACAGTTCAAAAAAAAGGTTCAAACAATTCAAAAAAAAAAAATTTTTTTTTGCCTTCACCGGTCGACCAGTCGGTCGACTGACCGGTCAACCAACCGGTTGTCCTGGCGCAGATTTGATGAAAATTTGATGAAAATGAACCATTGAAGCACTCGGTATCAGCTTGAGAAAAAAGTCATTTTTTTACTCAGATTTGATGAAAATTTTGGTGAACCATTGGAGATGCTCTTACTCGTTAAAAAAATAATAAAACGTAGGTGTTAATTTTGGTTAGGCTTTGTGTGGACGGGGATTTGAGAAATACTTTAAAAAGGGAAAGGAAAATAGATAGATAAAATGAACATAAAATATATTTATATTTCATCTGATTTCACAACTAATTATTGGATTCTTCTGAATCACGGCCATGTGGTGCTTAGAAGTGTTGTGATTGGTGGAGAATGTATGACTCATAATTTTGAGTCGAGTGATTGAGAAATATGATGTGTCATGGCATATCATCTAGTTTCACAACTAGTTATTGGGTTCTTCTTAAGTATAGCTACATGGTTCTCCAAAGTGTTGTGATTTGTGAAAAAGGTAGGATCCATGATTTTGTGTCGAGTGATTAATAAACATAATGTGTCATGATGTATGATGATTAATCTTGGAGTATGAACACATGACACTCTAGGAGCATTGAATAGTTTTTCTAACTATACATATATTTTTCTTTCCCTTTTCAAATCCCTGTCAAAATCTCCCAATTAAACACAGTCTTAGTGTTTCATGGAGAATTTTAAGAAAAATTACACCATAGTGGATCACAAAATATATATATATACAAAAAGTAATAAATATTTTAAATATTAATTATAAAACTTATAAAAAATTTCATTAATGTGTAATAATTTTTTAAAATCTATCATGAATATATATTTTGGACTATCATATTTATTTTATTAAAAGTATTTAAATATTTTAATAACTTTGAAGACCAAAAAAATTAAAATAAATTAATAGCTCATATTTATTTATATAATTAAGTGGACAAATTTGAGATTTATAAGTTATTTATTTATTTATTTTAAGCACAGAATAGGACAAGTTTGGGAGTTAGTTTTATTTAGTCAAAAAAATAAAAAAAATCATTGCAAAAAAATTAACCAGTATCTTATACTTTCTTATAGGTCTATAATTAAGGTCTCCATTTTGCCTATTGAAGCTGCATTTCTAGGGCTTCAATGTATAAGGCAAATGGTGAGGCATTTTGCCCATTCTCGTTTTGGCTCTTCACAGGTAGCCAACCTCCATTGCTAAGCAAAGTGTGTTCCCACCAACTCAGGTGATTCTCTTTCTCTTTCTCTCTCCTTCTTCCTTTCTTGTTCTTCCCCATCAACAATCTCTCTCAACCCACCTCCTGCACTACGAAACCCTTCACATTCTGTTTGATCTCGCTAAGCTTAGTTTACTTCTTGCGATTCAAGAAGATTCAAGAGGTCTGGACATTGGATTTCAAGGTCAGAACTCTTTGAACCCTAAATCATTACCTTTGCTTCACTTTGATTTCTTTCTTTGTTTCCTGGTATGTTTGTCATCAATTTATTGGACTCAATGAGGTTCCTATTATTGCCGTATATTGGGTCCCCAACCCAAATATCTGGTGGTGGTGGGTGGCTTTGAAATGTTGTCGCCACTCTTAAACATTGTACCAAAGGAGTCCTTTTCAAACTAACCGGTTTTTACTATGCCTTCTCTTATACCTTTCCAATCAATTTCGACTACGGCTCTGAATGTTGAACAGCTTTCAGAGCGAGATCATTTCTTTCCATTCATGGGTTTTGCAGTGCTCGAGTTTTCCTCAATTGGGTTATGTTTGATTTTTCATTCTTTTCCTCTTACTATGATGATTGTACAAAGCACACGAAAGTTTGTTTCTTGTTCTTTAATATGCTTTTTTCATCTACATATTATTAGTTTCAATCCTTCATATTTGACCTGTTATTCTTTTTGTTATTATTTATTTATTTATTTATTAATAACTTGATTTTTGCCTCTGGGTTTTGAGTTCAAGCCTTCGTCATTTGTTTTGAATTTATAATTGTTTTTACTTCAAGATTTTGATCAATTGTAACTGAAGAAAAATTCAAGTTTTGTTCTAAAATTTTTGAGAGAGAAAGAGAGAGAATGGATTTATGGGTTGTTGCAGCAGCAGTTGGAGTTGGGTATTTAGCCAAGTATTGGCAAAACTTGTCTGGGGAAAATGGGTTATCAGATGGGAATTCAATTCGCAGGCAATCCAAATCCCAATATTTGCTTCAGTAGATGCAGGACCAAAATAGTCCATTCTGTGGATCAGTGTGAAAAGGATTGAGAGGAGATGTTTCTTTAGGTTGGAGAACATGATGAATCAGTTTCAAATTGGATGTTTCATGAATTGGACCGACATGGTGGTAGTTTGGTAGCTGGAAATGCATCTACAAGTGACAATGATGCTAAAGTTTTGGCAAATGCAGGGAATTATGAGAATTACAATGTGCTTATGACGAAGAATTTTCCACTAGGATTCCAATGAAAATAAATTTTTTAGGACAATGTGATTGTAATTGGTGAAAAGAATGAGGGTTTTGACAATTTTGGTGATACTTTACTGGAATTTGAGACCTATAGATTAGCAAAGAGCAAGCCTTTTAGAAGTAGAAGGTTTTGCAAGTTTTCTGTTAAACCATTGAACATTTTAGAAAGTTACCTCACTGTTCAGCTGTATAGAGAGTAGGCTCAAAAGAATGAGTTTGAGTTTAGTTCAGTTCCATCATCACTTACACCAACAGTGAGGCCATTGTTGGTAACTGATGGGAATCGAATAATTAGCAGAGATTTTAGTGATTCATTTGGTTATAAGCTTAAGAACAAAGGTGTGATTTCCTTAGAAGAGCATAGTGATACAGTTTTGGAAAAGATTGACTATTTGAAAAAGTTCTTCATGCAACCCAACATATGTGGGCCTTGTAGAATAAGTTCAAACTGTGTATGAGATTTATATAACCTTCGAGTGCTTGCTTTTATTTTATTTTACCGTTATCTTTTAATGGGTTTTGCTTGATGTTTCACAATTTCAGTTCTTGTGTTCACTCTGTGAATTCTATTGTTGATATAATACACATTTTGTGGTATGAATAATTGTGCTTTAGAAGGAACATCAAGGAAATGCATATTTTAGCAACCTAATGAATGATGAGTTTGACCTTGACCATGATGTTACCACTGAATCTCCTTAACAAGAGAGTCAATCTTTATCATTCTCTGCTGAAATTATTACTCAAACCACAAAGATATCACAACGCAAAGGGAACTTCACCGTAGAGGAAGACATGATGCTCATATCTTCATGGCTTAATATTAGCTTAGATCCAATTAGAGGAAATGAGCAAAAGTCAAAGGCATATTGGTTAAGAGTGTGAGAGAACTTCAACAAGTACAAAACCTTCGATTTTGAAATAACTCAAACTTCTCTAATGAAACGGCGGTCAACGATTCAACTTGCCACAAATAAATTTTGTGGATGTTTTGCTCAAGCTGAACGATTGAATCGAAGTGGTTCGACTGAAAAAGACAAGGTATTACTAGAATTTCATTTGTATCTATAATGAATATATATTATTCATTACGTGATAGTGACTATTCTTTAATATATTTTCTAGATTTGGGATGTGAAAAAATTGTACAAAGACTTGTATCAATCGAACTTTCCCTTTGAGCATTGTTGGAATGAATTGAGATCCCAATCACAATGGATGGAAGATACAGAAACGAAGAAGCAAAAAAGCATAAAAAATGCATCTCCGGCAACGTCTACCCCTTGTAT